ATCGCCTTTCTACCTGTTGTTCTTTCTATGTATCTACTTGTTTGCCTATCTATATGCCCAGCTATTTGTCTATCTCTCTAGAAACCTGTCTCTGTATCCATCCACCTACCTGTCTGCCCATCTCTCCACCAGTCCATTTGCTCGTCTATCTATCTACGTATTTGTCTGTATATCTATCTATCTATCTATCTATCTAGCTATCTATCTATCTATCTATCTATCCATCTATCTATCTATCTATCTATCTATCTCTGTGTCTATCTATGTATCTATCTGTCTATCTCTCTTTATCTCTCTCTACTTGTCCATCCATCCATCTAGTTATCCGTTTATCTATATGCCTACCTATCTATCTATCTATCTATCTGTCTATCTATCCATATACATATAAATATTTATCTATCTCTCTATCTACGACGTATCTATCTAGCTCTCTACTTGCCTGTCTATCCATCTGTTTCTCTCTACGTACCTAGTGTCCATCTATACGGCGGTTGTGGCGACAACTATGGCTCTTGTGATTGTAGCTTCCGAGTTTAAGCCAGATGTTTTGATGTGCTGATTGTTTTGTTGCGTTTGTCCATTCAATGTGGTGTCACATTGTCAAAGGCTTTTGTTTTTGTGTCTGTCTTGTTGCGCCAGGTCTGGTTAATATGGTCACCGCCCCGCCCCTCCCCGCCCCTCCCCCCCAAAACAAAAACCAATCACAAAAACAAAACAAGGAAACACACTCAAAACAACATTGTGTTCGTTTTTCTGGCATGGTTGGCACGCTATTGTGCCACTTGTGAAAGCTGCATGTTCCTTGCGGCAGGTTTTTGTTTCCCACTTGGGTGTCCAACCCACCTGGTACTTCGATTGCAATCATGTCTTACCCCGGTTGCCACCATGGTCATAATGCTTCTGATCAAGTGTGTGGACCATCCGAGTAGCTCTGTTTTTCTTGTTTGTTTCCTCTAAAGCCCTTGCGACGGGCCTCAAGTTCCGGTGAGGTACGGAGACCCATACGGAGACAATGACGTGACACCTGAGAAGAAGGTTAGCGCGGTGCCAAAATTGAACCTGCCCGCCGCAATGCCTGAGCCCATTGTAATCTCCTTGTCGCCAAGACCGGCGCACCAAAACGAGGAGGTCATAGACTGACCGACCCAGGCGCTAGGCGCTGCCGCCCGAAGTGATCTAAGGGTCGGACAGTTGGCAGGACTGGGAGCCAGGACATAAACCTTTTGGTTCTCTCCGGCCTTTGCCTTCGGTGCATCTCTTTGCCTAATGAACCCTGCGCACAGCCAAGGGGAGCACGGCCGTCCGTTTCCTCACTTGGCTCGTGGTTGCCCACACCGCAAGCAAAGCTTGCAGTATTGTACTGGCCGCCCGGCCTTCAAATTTTCACACGCGGCATGGATTTCACGCAGCAAAGCGCTGTGAGACTGCTTTGTGGAACCGTCGGCAAAGGCACTGTTGTGATAGAGTTTCTTGTTTCTCTACGGCTTTGCATCGACTTCTCAGGCAAGGGAATTTTCAGGCACTCCCCATAGGTACCGCGCCACTTGAGCCTTTTACAAAAGGGCACCCATTTGGGGAGGCGCCTGAGACTTCCCTTGGCCCTGTCGTTGCCGTTGGAGCCTTTTGTCGAGGCACCAGGCGCAAGTTCCTCAGCGGTACAGGATATTTCGATCGGCGCGTTGTTGGACTTACGTTTCCAAATCCCAATGTTTGACGTGATGTTCTTTGAATCTTGGGAAGAAGACGCACAAGGTCGCAGTTTTATGTGTCTTATAGCTGGGAAGGACACTTTGCATTGTGATTTCCTGGCTAGCCTTTAGGGATGCACACTTTGCAGGTAACTGCTATTTTAGAACCAGCCAAGGAACCTGCATGAGCGAATGGCAGGTATTCAAGCCCTTTCCTAGGGTGAAAGTAGATGGCACAGCTCCCTTTATGGGTAATCAAGGGGATGACGAGTGACCAAACTCGTTGAATGGAATTCGCCAGCTACTTCGCCCAAGCCAAACGAGACATCAAGACTCCCGTTGCAACTTGCGCCCTTGCAAGAAGCCTTAAGTACGTCCCTTTCGAAGCTTTGTTGCGGGGACTTTAACTAGTTTCCTAGCCTTTGCTACATTTGTTGGACCCCTATATTCCCACTGGCTGTGCGCAAGGGATGACAGCAACTCACGTTTACATTTTCTGGACTTTACCCTGTTTGAGTTACCCGTATGGTGGTAAACAAGTTTCAGGACTTTGTTTGGGCCTAGGAAGTGAGGCCCTGAGTGGTTCCCAGGGATTTGGAGCGGACACTGGAGGTACCGCCAGTTTTCTGCCGCGGAGTCGGACATGTGCACCCCGGGCTCGTGCGTGAAGCACAGCCGCGGCCCTCGGCCCTTGTTCTGAGGCGGATCGAACATCCGATTTCATGAGGCATGGCCAGTTCATTGCTATTGGGCAACGAATCTTTATAGACTTTAGCTTTTTGGTTGAAATCAAGTTGGGCTTTCCACGAAGCCACCAAAAAGTTAAAAACGTTTTTCAGAGGGGTCAACAGCAACCAAGGCCATGTCCAAAAGTATCCCCTCAAACGATTAGTTCCATGTTTGGGCGGGAAGAAATCATGACCCACCCCCTGCACTCGTGCTGATCTTGGGGGTCTCATGTTAGTGAACATTCCCTTCTGGAGGTGAAGCATGCCTGAGCATCAACCCTCATACCGTGGATGGTTGCCAAATCCCGGAATGATGATTTCCCTGTAAATACCACCCAACAATGGTTTCAACCATATGCTTCAATGTGCAGTACTTCGTCCATCCACAGTAGTTTTGCAACTGACCATTGACCAGCCTTTTGAATTCGTGGCCACATTCCAGCGATGGGCACGAGGGCCGCATTCGTCAAAATGCAGCCAAGCAGATGACTCGCATGAGCCATGAACTGAGTTCCCCCCGCGCTCCATTCTCCGGGATTCCTGGTGTTTTTCAATCTGGGGGAACCCTAAAGAATCCTAAAGATGGATGTTACCCTCAAAAAAAGACGAAGCGATTTGCCTGCGGCTGCGTGTTTCCACGCCTCCATTTTGAGAAGGCGCGTTGAGAATTGCTAGCGGCCATGGCCGCAACTTGTTTCCGCTGGAGTCTGCTCACGGGAGCCCTGGATAAGAGAAGTTCCACCCAAGCTGGTTGAGCCGGATGCGGCCAAGTTAAACTGAAGCGCTTTCCTGGTGGTTGTCATGTAATATAAACACTTGGTTACTTGCCAGGCAGCGATATCATGTCTTTTTCTTGTGTGGTCCCAAGTGTTCGTTTTGGGGGGTGCGATTCCACCCTCCAATGGACCCTTGGACCAATCCCTCCTAGGCTCCCCAGTTCGAGGCATACGCCTGCACCGGTGAAGTGGCTGTGTGTGGTTGTTGCATGATGTTGGTGGCACCGGGGGTCTTTCTCGGTTTTGCTGTTTTTTTGTTTTTGCATTTTAAAGGTGTACTAAATCCGGACCACAATCATACATATACATATATATATATAGAAGTATATGGTTAGGTGCAGCAGCTGAGGCGCCCCAAAACCTTTGCATTAGGCCCTTTCACGTTTTCGGCACTGCCCGCGGCCTTTTTGCTGGATATATAGATGCCGAGCAGCCTCAGCGTTTCACACTTGAGAGATGTGAGAAATTCGCTGCGAAAGCTTGCGCCAGCTTTGCCTTGGGCATAAGGGACAATATGTAGGGATAAGGGGGGCCCACCTTTTTTTTCAGGGGGATTTTGGAAGCTCTAAAAGGAACGCCAGAAAGAATCTAGGGGTTGAACGCTGTCGAGCTGATGCCCTGTTTTGAGGGCATCCTGGTGAGGCTCGCTCGTGTAAGACGAGGCCAACTAAAGGAGGGAGGGTGCACGCAGGGTCCCGAGTTGTTTTTATTTTCCTTGCATGGATGAAACTAGCCCGGCGGTGGAACTTGTAGACTGCACCCATTACTCAGTAACAATGAAGCAATTGTCCAAAGGGACTGGGTGTCAACGTGTGGGAGCAAGTGCAGGGGGTCTTTTCAGACGGGGGAACCTTCTCGGGGCCTTTTGGCATCCCTCACTCAAATGTTTGGGTGCTGTCGGAAACAGCTGGTACTTCCTTTCTAGCATGGCAACGCGTGGATGGTATACCCTTTGCGGAGATCATTCTAGTCCCACGTGTTGTCCGATTTGTCCGCTAGCTCAAAGTGAGAATCGTATGGGGTGGTTGTGGGCATCTCCTAGCCCCCGACCAAGCAACAAACAAAACATGGGACACCCAGGGCTCAATAAAGCATTAGGGGGCACCCAAAGCATTCTTTCGAAGCTGAATTGCGATTCTGAGGGCTTCTTGGGAGGAGAGTTAGCTCTTTGGAGGGTGTCCCGAAGACTTGTTGCCCATCAGTCGAAGAAGCGTGGTTTTGGGATATGTTTTGATTGAATCGCCCTTTTTGTTGATATAACCAGATGTCACTCGGAGTTGGGGGTTGCTCACTTGGGATATCATCTGTCATGTTGGTGTTTTGTGGGCCCAGGGCAGTCTATGGTCACTGCTCACAAAGTGCAACTGGTGAGCCATGCTAGTCCATGTTTTTAGAGCTTGGGCTGGTTTTGAGCGGCATGACATATCTGGAGCTGACCGCCGCGGACTCGGACCGCCTCTTGCTGCTTTTTTGAATGGCGGCCCTGCCAGGGAAGCCAGGGACCAACGAACACTTTGGAGAATGCTTTCGTGGGTAACCCGGCAAAGAAAGACCGTCCTTCGCGGCCAGCCTCTGCCCATTTCTAGTGGCAAACATCATTCCACACCTTATCCTAAACGCATCGGTGACCTTAGTATAACAGTGGTGCAGTTTGCTTGGACGTTAGGACTTTAACTTGTGCCAACTAAAAGTTAAACCTAACATCCACTAAAGCAGGGGATGTTAGTTGGCAAAAAGGGGTTTGCTAAAAGTTCAACATTTTTCCCATTAAACCACTGAACAACTTGAAACAGTTTAACTGTTTGTCCATTAAACCACTAAACAAGTTGAACTTTTCGCAGGGGAGCAGAAAGCAAAAGAGAATCAGGCGCCAATCTCCGAGGCTGGCATCCACCCACCGACTCGGATGACGATCCAGAGGAGGCGCTGGCACGCGTCATGCGACGAATGTTCACATAAAGCAGAGATCCACCCTAGACGGAGCCTCAGGGCTCGTGAGTTTGGCGGTTGCCAGGAAGTTCTTGGATTGTCTTGTGCCTTTTTTTTGTGGTATGATTTGTGCTCAGTATGAGTGTTGTGGGGCAGCCCCCAAGGTTCTGGGGGAAATCCCAGTCAGATGCTTGATTGCGATTGGAACAAAAGGGGCTGTAGACTGAACAACTGTTTGGGTGCAATGCTTGGGTGATCTGTATTGTTAGAAAAATGAAGTGTTAAACCCTTCTTGCCGAGGGGTCGTTACAGGAACCAAGTTTGGTGTTCGCATGCTGGCCCGTGTTTAGTCAAGGACCCAATGCCAAAAGGTCGTCACTTCTTCCAGGTCCTTTGACGTGAAGAATTGATTGATCCGCACCGCGGTCTTTTCATGTTGCTGAGATCCCCCCCGCCCCCCCGCCGGCTGAACCCCGCCTGCCCAGGCCATCTTAGGTTCCAGCCAAGGGAAGGGGGTTGGATCCTACCAGAGGTACAGTTTGTGCTGGTTCCATAGACAGGGAAGGAGAAATAGAATGAATTCTATAAACCATGCCCGATTTGACTTCCTTTAAGGGAATCACCAAACGGTTCATTGAACCAACACCCTGAAGCTCGTTGTCCTTCCCCACCCGTCGCACCGATCGCAAGTCAACTTGGCGGTCATTCTTTTGGTGTCCGTTCAAGCCTGGGTGGCTCCGAACCTGGATTTCAGATTTTCCTCTTGGTTTCCCGCTTGCCCTGGGTAAAAATATGAACTTTTCGCGAACAATGTTCACCCAGGATTAATAAACCCGTCCCTTTTTTAGGGGGGTTGTTCCCTTCAAAAGTAATGAATCCCCACCATAAGGGGACACCCCCCTATTAATCAACCAGGGGCAAGGGCAGGAAGAGGAGGGGGGGGGGGTAGCGTGATTGTGCGGCAAGGAAAGAGGTTGTATTTTTTCTCCATCCGGGGTTGACATCTCCAGTTCGCCCCCCCCCCCCCCCCCCTTTTCGGCGCGAGTTTTTTCCTCGCGCGCGGATCGCTCCTTTCCGCTTCTTAGGTGCGGCGGAGGCACGAGCCGGATGAGGATGGCAAGTACTGGGCCCGGGCCTCGGGCGCAGAAGATGCGCGCTTTTGGGCGGCCCCTGTTTTTGTTCTTTCTTTTTGTTTGTCTCTCTTTTGGTTTTCTGGGGTGTGTTGCCCTTGACCATATGGCTAGGAATCTTAATTGGGGACCTATTGGTGGACAAAATTTAGGTGGGGATTCATGTCCACCAATCACTTTTGAGGTGGTTCCCTATTCATTTCAGCTAACCTGTGAGGTTGGTGGTTTGGATTTGGATTTGACCCCCTGGCTCTTGCATGTAGAGGGCAGATGGAAACCAGCTTGCAACCTCCAAACCACGAACTAGGGGTAAGGTGCTATGCTCATCTGTGACTTGCGGTAAGCTTTGATGTGTCTCTTGGGGTCCACGAAATCTGTTGGTTAGTGTCACCCTTGTTGCTTTTTGTTTGTGGGGCTCCCGACTGAAATTGCCAATCTCCAAACAAATAGGCAGAGGGGGGGGTGGGATGTCGGCTGTGGCCTTGTGTCAGCCGCCAGGCATGGAGAAGTGTCTCTGAATTTAGGTTAGTGTTACTGTTAAAGGTCCCTCTATTTTGACACACACCCATAGGTGTCATCTTCAGCGTGAGAGAACCGTCATGTCGCAAGTGTCGGGTTTGAGCATCAAGTTTCTGCAGCACGTGCGGGCTCAAAAGGAACCGGTACCGGGACTCGAAACAAGGCACAATGCAGGCGCGAGGGCTGGCGTGCCCGACTGTGACAGGCGGTAGGATGTTGACAAAACTGCAACTGCCATCCTCGCAAGAAAGATGCTTATGTACTTGAGTGGGTTGAGGCACAGGTGGCTCAGTCAGCATGAGACCCCCTTGCTAGGCCCCCGTGGAGATGCGTTGGAGCCCTTACACCGACAACGGTGGCACCTGCCTGGGCGTTGCAGGCGGGGGCCGGGCTCGCATTGGGCTGGGTGCGGTCATGCCGATGCCATGCGCGCGGCAGGCGAAGACTTTGTGGTGGTGGCTGCGGACACGCGACTCAGCCAAGGATACAGCATCCACACACGCAACTGCAGCAAGGCGAGGGGCTGGCCGGGGTGTCCCGAAGAGTGAGAGAGTGGAGAGCAGGTTCCGTGACAAGAGCACATGATGTGCGGTCCGCAGTTGCGGTTCGTTCATGCGCAGGTGACCCAGTTGACCGACAAGTGTGTGATTGCCGCATTGCCGGACTTAGCTCGCCAGTTTGCCCTTGTGCAGCTTTCGCAATCATTTGATCGAGGAATTGAAAGTTGGATTTCGGGGCCAACTGTGATACTGAGTGGATCCCCTAAGTCACCAAGTCACGGGAATCAACCACTTCACTTTTCGGGCTTCAGCATTTTCGACGGCGAGAGGGTTCGAATCAAGGCTTCTTGCGGCATGAAGTCCGATGCCATTACCCTCCACAAGCACTTGAAGGCCCGTCTGGTGCGGCGCTCAGTTGTCTTAGAGCCCGGGCTTCGGCTCGACTGCTTTCGCCGGCTTCACGACAGCTTGCTGTAATCATGTAATGCTCCAAGCTTTGGCTCCTTTTCTTTTTTTTTGTGGGGGGCGCTTCCCATGCCTTTTTGTGTTTTCCCTGGGGGGGGTGTTCCTGCACGGCACCGTCCACCTTGGCCCGAGAAATGCGGCCTGGGTGGGGGTTTTCCTATGAAACCAGCTAGGCCCTGGGCAAAATTGGTGTGTTCGAGCGTGACGCTAGGGCATCGGCCATCGCTCGTGAGCATTTGCTTTGGCCGCATCCAGCCCCAGCGATCCCCGAGGTCATGTATGAACACCAACACAGGAGGCAGGCGTCCGTGACTGCCATCGCACAGATGCTCTCGACAACCTTGTACTACAAGCGCTTCTTCCCCTACTACACCTTCAACGTGCTCTGCACCTTGGCTGAAAGTCACTCGCTCAGTGTGGTTTACATGGGGGTTGACCAATATTGCCTTTGGCCCCGCCCTGAGGCGGGGTTGATGATGAGGGCAAGGGGGCGGTATATCACTATGATGCCATCGGCAGCTTCGAGCGTGTGCCCTTCACCACCAGTGGCAGCGGCAGTGCTTTGGTCATGAGCGTATTGGATGCCCAGATCGACAAGGGGAACCAGACCATCGAGACCCCCACGCTCGACAAGGCAGGCATCGTGGAGCTGGCCAAGGACCGGGCTTTCTTCACAATTGGCTTGTAAGAGCTTAAGAATTGGTTGTTTTGCCCGGTTGGTTTTAAAGGGAATCTAGTCTAGCACTACTGGATTTATTTATTTTTGCAGGGGAGTTAATATGGTCCTAGAACTCCCAGGGCAACTCCCTTTTTGTGGTCCCCTGTTTTCAGGTCTCGTTTTTAAGGTGCTCTTTGATGCTTTCTTGGGGGCGGGGTCAAATCAGGACGTGCTTTCCTCCGTTGGGGAGCGGGACATTCACACCGGAGATTACGGAGAGATCTTCCTGATTGATGCGGCCGGCGTCTCCAAGACCGAATTCGATCTCAAGCTGGACTGAGCCCATCCAAATAGCAAGCGAAATGCGAGGCGCCTCACCGCAAATCCAGGGGACCTACGGCTGTTCCCTCGGGTGCTTTGTTTGAAACGAATAGCCATGTCATGCAGCAATCGGGCAAAGTGTTTGCTAGTTGACATGCGAAAAGAAGGCGGCTCAAAGTTCTGTCAGAAGCGCATAGGGGCCATTGGAGCTGAGCGGCACAGAGCTCGAATCGAAAAAATGTGGGCAGAGGGGATGGTGGGCGGTAGAGGCATAGCGCAGGCTTCATTACAGGCTGGCAGAAGTTTTTTTTTTGGACTTGGCGTTGCAACACGTTCAGCTTGTTCTCGCTTTTAACCTGGGTTATGCCAATATATTCGATGTTTGTTGATATGTATATATATATATATAATAATAATAATAATAATGATAATAATAATAATAATAATAATAATAATAATAATAATAATAATAATAATAATAATAATAATAATAATAATAATAATAAATAATAATAATAATAATAATAATAATAATAATAATAATAATATAATAATAATAATAGTCATAATAATAATAATAATAATAATAATAATAATAATAATAATAATAATATGTCTGTCTGTGTATATTTTCAGATCGAGACCTCGATTCCATCGCGCGCTGGGAAATCAAGGCTGGGGTCAGTGTGAAGTCACCGACTTTGGAGACACGGACTGCCTGCATGGAGATCTAAACTCCGCTTGCGGAACTCGAGGTCTGAGCTCCGTGTCCGAAGTCCGCGGGTAGTTGCTGTAGTTCAGATTTCCAGGGCGATATGAAAGCCACCAGGTCCCGTGAGCTTGGTCTTGGAAAAGGGCAGCCATCTTGTAAAGGGCCTGGCCGGTGGGTGAATGGCTGAAAGGTCGCCTCGCAGCCTCGCGCGAACTGTGGGTTTTCACGAGGGGCTTCTTTTAGCCGAGGCGTTGTGCTTTCCATGTCCCCCGGAAAGCTTGCAGAACCTGTCTTTGAGTGGATCTAAAAGGACCAAAGATGACCAACGCCTTTCTCAGGGGTCGCTATATTTCCATGTTCAGCCCATGAAACGTCAACGCTTTGAGATGAGTTTGTCTCGCCTCTGGGTGGGATGTTTCAGGGGAAATGCGGGGAGCCCTGTTTCTTGCCTCCCTTTGCTTAGGCATGTTGTTGATTGGCCTCTGTTGGTTTCAAAGGGGATCTGTTACTATGATGTTTCTTTTGGTTTCCACTGGGCCTAAGCAAATGGAGGTGATGATTCCTGTGGTTCCCTCATTTGGAGACAAGCCCTTGATACCGCGCACCCGAAACACAAATCGGCACACCCCGAATCAGAAGAACACGGGGTGAATCCCCCAACAGTGTTGGCGTCTACCACGTGGACCGCCCTTGTCAAGGAACCAGGGGCTGATTCCGACTGCTATGTTTTTTGGGGGGTTTTTAAGAGTACTTTGCAGGTTGGTTTAAAGGAAAGCCAAACGAAAAACTATCATTCTGATAGTCCAACTCCGTGTTTTGAGACATGCGGTGTGAATTTTAGTGGGGACCCTTTGGCGGACATCATTTATGTATCCTTTGAGCGGTCCCGCATTAAACATCAAGAAGCCGTTTTTCCGAGTTCCTAAATCAGTTTGTCTCTAAGGGGAACCTTAACAAGCTCCTTCCCCGAGTTCCTGGACTTCAATGTTTTGGGAAGACACAAACAGATTGGACACTTTTTTGGCCAATCCACGCACTTCCTAAGAACATTCCAGGGGTTGATTCCCCATTCTTTTCAATCAGCGTTCTTTTCGAAAACCTGGCGTTTTCCCTGGGTTTCTGGAGGTTTTCTTGAAAAACAAATGGATCCCTGGAAAGAATGGAATTGGAAGGTACCCCAGAAACACGCTTGACTTCCCTCTGGTTTACCCAGACCTCAAACACCGGCTACACCGGCTACACCGGCTCAGCTGCCCCGTGCCGCCGGGCGCCGGCCGCGGGTTGGCGGGTTGCTCGGGGGCGCCGGCCATGGCAAATGGGGAATCGGATCTTCTGCCACCCGGCAGCGCGGAGCTCCCCCCAATTGGGTCTGTCTAACAAACTTGGGCAGACTTTGCAAAAGCTCGACTTTGGGCTGGTCTCAACTTCTAGGGGTGGTTTCCTTTTCCATTCTTTTCAACCATGATTATGGAAGTGTCCCCCTTGGCGCGATCGATCGCCATCGCCTCAAACATGGCAATTGGGGCCGACGGCTGGAGGGGAAAGCTGGACAAGGGGAATTGGGGGCCACCCCACCCCCCTCCCCCGCTCCGGGGATGCAGGGCAGTAACGCGGGGCTGGTTCCCACCTATCGGAGGATTCCACCAATCCAAACCATCAAGCAAGTTATCTTATGCATTTGGGCCAATGAACAAAGTCATTTCTTCCAGATTCTGAGGATCCGACTCCTTGTAAAGCTGGCGGCTTTTGAATGCATCCTTCAACTTTTTGGAGCCCTGCCCAATCGACCTTCTGATGTGTTGCTTTTCCTGTTGCTTACGTCCGGTGGATCCACTTGCCCCACATAGGGAAAGCAGAGGCAACACCCGAAGTCTTCAACTAGGCGAACCCAAACACCATAAAAAAAGCAAAGAGGTCTCCTAATCAGAGGTTTCCTTTTGGGTTTTCCTTTAATAAAGAAGCCCAAGCAGGGCGGGTTTTTAAAGGGAACCGATTTCACCGCTGGACATGTTTTTTGCGAACATGCAAATGGAAGTTTGTTGCTGGCTTGGTAGGCAGGGATTCATTACTGACATATATGAACTTGTTTTTTCTCCGGGCGAAAACGGAAATGGACGTTTGTTGCTGGTTCGATGGGCAGGGAAAGAGAAATGGAATGAATTCTATAAGCCACGCCCGATTTGGTTTCCTTTGGAGTCTCCAAACGGTGCATTCAACTTCCACGGACGCTCGTGCGGTCATTCCCTGCCTATCTGCGGCGATCGGTTGCCAGCTACTTAGGGCCCGGGGCCCTGGGGCTGTGTTCGTAACAACTGGTCTAGCTCCTCCCAGTAGCGCCTTCCTTTTTACGCCCTTTTTTTGGGGGGGAGGGTTCCCCTACTATAGACTAAAGAGAGGAGAAAGAAACAAAACAAAAAAAGAAACGGGTACCCTTCTTACCTCTCTACTGGAGGACCTAGTGGTCAAAACTGATCAGATCTGGGGCCTGAAGCCTGGTGAAACCCGCGGGTCCGGGGCGATCCGGGCGGTGAGGCAATGACACGGTGTGCCCCAAGACCCAGCTCCAGGCGCGGGCCAACCGGCGCGTGGGATGGACTTCTCCCCCGGAGTTCCGAGCTCCGAACAAAAAAAAAAAAAAAACACGTGAGGCAAACCTTTTTGGGGGTAGACCCCAGGCAAACCTCGGCTTCACTGTTCTTGGCAGCTTTTTTTTTTGGTTCTGTTCATTTTTATTGTGCATCTGCAAAACAAAAAAAGCTTTTCGGGCTTGGACCACGTGGAACTGTGAGAAAAAAAGAAAAACACATGGGGTGCATTGGTTGGCCCATCCACTCGGGAAGTTGAAAACTCTTCTTGGGGTTGGACCAGTTTGGTAAGCAAAAGGTTTAGACCATAGGTGTCCTTTTTAGTTGTTTTGGTAGAAAAATAGATGGCCCTGGTTTACCTGGTGGTTTAATCATCTACCCAGGGCCATCTATTTCCCCTAAAAGGACGCCTATGGTTTCGACTGTGTTGGTTGCAAGCCTTCGGAAGTGACTTGGATCAGAACCTTAGGTCCAACCAGCGAAGATTATTGTGCACAGCCCTCTGTTGACTCGCTCCTTCCCAGCCATCCTTTTAGGTTCTTTTAGGTGTTTAGGGTTTAGTGATAGTTTCCACTGAACCACTAAACGTTAAACTCTTTGCAGGGGATTTGATGACAGCCCAGTTCAATCCTCCGTAGGCTGTTGGGGACCTCACACTTTTGGGAGCGCAGCTTCCGCTTATGGGGGGCTTATGGGTGTGCATGTGCGATCGACGAAAAGAAAAGGAGTCAGAGCACCACAAGTTTAGCCCTAAAAAGGGATACGTTTATATACAATTTACTTACTTTCCGAGGGCTACTCCACTTGGGGTCTTTCCCTTCGAAGCGGTCCAGTGCGCACAGACCGCTCATAGGACCGCTGTCCTTTTGCAAAGCGAGCCTGCGCACCAGGGATTGGCGACATACGTTCAGCTGGGGTGGGCATTCTCGGTGGAACAAACAAAGAGAGCAAGTTGGTTTTTTGTTGGTTTCCCTTTAAAACCACAAACTCGGGATACACACGAGACACCCAACATGTTCAACTAGACCCTACTCCGCCTTCCAAGCATGATCACACAAAGGCTTGGGCCAAATGTTGCAGTTGCCTGGGAGCAATTCAGCACCAAACCACGTATGATCAGAAAGGACCGGTGCAAATTAATTGCGCCCCTTTTGCAGCTGAATTACCCCCTCCAATCAATATGGAACCCAAACAACAACGAGTTGTTGTAGAGGAGCCCGGTATTGTTGGGCGACCCCCTTTTGGGAAAGTATACGGTGTAAAATGATTTAGCCATTGTCTTCGCCAGGTAACCCTTATTTTGTGGTTTGCATCGGTGCCTTTGGCATTTGAACCCCTGGTTCTTGCAGAGGGAAAAAGGAAACCACCCCCTAACCTTCAAACCACCAATAATTTCAGTCCTTAACTGGCGGCTAAGCTGATTTACCCGGGGTCTCCTGCAATACTATTTGGTTGTATTTTTTGGCGTGTGTCCACTTTAGTCAGACCAGGAAGTTCGACGGCGGCGAAACATACCCCCGAAGCATACCCCCTCCTCAAACTGCCTGGGTTGGCAACGGCAAAAGATATAAACCCATTTAAATTCTGGGCGAATGTGAAACCTCATCAGCACACACTCCCCCACAGAGTAACGGAAGGAACCCTTAGAGGAAACTCCTTTTGGGAATTATACCCCTCAAATTTCTGTGCTCCTTCCGTTATTTTATAGGGGTGTGGGTTATTATTTTGACTGCGGGTTATCAAAGTCAGAAACTGGTTGGCGGTTTCCGTTAAACCAACCACCTGGGGGTTACTTTGATACCATAGGTGTCCGTGTTTTTGTTGTTTTGGTAAAACATAGCTGGCAATTCACAATCTACCTCTACCAGGGCCGTCTAATTCTCTGTTTGCCCAAAGCCGACCTGTTTGAACCTTTCGGTCTTTTCTTTCCAGGCCCTTTGGGCTGAGTGTCCTCGCGGCTCAAAATTGAAAGAGCTAGGGCAACCCGCAGGTTTTCGTCTCTGTTTCCATTCGCCAGGCGCCGTTTTGTGTTTCCTGGATCCTCCAAACTCCAAGTTAAATGTAGGTGGCCTCCCACAATTCTGGGGCGAATTCCCTTTGTCATTTGTAGTTTGAGGGCCCAGGTTCGTTTTGTTGAGCCGCACCCACATTTTGAGCTTCAGACTTCAGGTATGGATTGCTTATAGGCTAATTCTGGGGTGAATGCTTTTTCCCCAACAGCTGAAAGCTTTGGGGTCTCAGCCCAGATAGGCTCCGGCAAGGTTCCACGAGGGTTCCACCAGGGTTCCACGAGCTACCGCATGCTGTTGGGGATATCACCTGGGCTTATTTCCATGGGTAGTTTGAGGCTCCAGGCCCGTTTTGAGCCTTCAGTCGTGCTTCAGACTGGTGGATTTCTGCTTGATTGCATTGAGTTGGATCTTCTCGGGAAACCAAGATAAACCAAGGTGAGCTTTCCATTAAGCCCACAAGAAGTGGTTCACTTTTTGCTCTTCGGGGTGAAGAGCCACCAAGTCTCGGGCGCGTGCGTCTTTCACGCGGCGAAGCGCGAAGCGCGAGGCCCATGGCCCCGAGAACGAGCTCCTGGACGACCGCCCGGCCTGCGACCCCGCGGGGGCGGTCTTCACCGAGACCTTGGAGGAGCTGAACGAGGCGAGTCGATCGCTCGATCGATCGAGGCCTCACGGCTCGATCGGGGCCAGGCGAAGTTCGGAATTTGTTGTTCGGTTTTTGGGGTTGCAACCGTTTTTCGGCGTCCAGTGGCTGAAAGGAATGTCGGTTTGTTGTCTTTTTGTTTTTTGCGAAAAACTGCGGCCGGCGACTCAACCGGGGGTAGAACACACTTCCTGTGAATTTGGGCGTTCGACTTCGGATTAATATGGAGCAGATCGTTTTAGTGCTGATAACCCGATTAACACCGTTGCTCTCCTGAAGATTAAGGCGTGCCACACAAACCATCAGTTCTAAATAAAGCTTGGTGGACCCCTGCTTGCTTGGACCCCTCTTTTGATGTCCCAAAGCCGTTTTTTGCAGATCGGATCTTTTGGCACGGGCCAGAAAAATCAGGCACTAGAAGCATTGGCTCAAAACCGTGCGCATAGCCCAAGCACACCCCACATCCTGAACATTGCCGAAACCAGCCCCTGCCCAACTGGCCAAAGAAGCCAACTTTACCAGAACATCTCGACCAGCGGTTGGGCAAGAAGAGTTTTGCAATGGCAAGAATGCCAGAATGATTACGGTGCGACAGCTGTCCGGGGCAGATGAAGCATTCGAAGTGCCGGCGGACATGACTGTCCGCGAGTTCAAGAGGCGGCTGCACAGGTGGCTGCCCTGCGCTGACGAATAATGCGCAACATGAGCTCGGTGGGGGTGGTTGTGGAGACAAACGCCTCTTGAACAACGAGGAGACGCCTCTTGAACAACGAGGAGACCCTGTCAGAGGCCATCCCAGGTGCAGAAGTCACGGCTTTCCTTAGCGTCAAGCCAGTGATGTGCTGCAGCTTCTCAACATCCGGCTGCGAATCAGGATGACTTTTGTGTGGTGGAAATTCCAGCAGGCACGACTGAGATTGAGGATTCTGCCTTTCAAGGTTGCAGTATGTTGCTGAGCGTCACCATCCCCAACTCCGTGGCCGTCATTGGAAATGGGGCCTTCGAAGACTGCAGCTCATTGGCAAGCGTGGCCATCCCCAATTCCGTCACTGAGATGGGCTTGTTTGGTTTTCGAGGGTGCAGCGCATTGGCAAGCGCTACCATCCCTGACTCTGTGACTGTGATACGAAATGGGTTCCAAAGTTGCAGCTCATTGACAAACGTGACCATCCCCAAATCCCCGACTCTGTGACTGTGGTAGGAAAGTTTGCCTTCCGAGGATGCAGCACGTTGGCGAGCGTTTGCGTCCCCAATTCTGCCACTGAGATACAAGATTCCGCTTTCGAATGTTGTAGCTCTTGAACCAGTGTGGCCGTCCCCGACTCCGTGACGGTGATTGGAAGGTTTGCTTTCCAACGTTGCACCTCATTGGCAAGCATAACCATTCCCAGTTCTGTGGCTGAGATTCAACTTGCTGCCTTCGAAGATTGCAGCGCATTGGCAAGCGTTACCATTCCCAATTCTGTCACTGAGATTGGATCGTGCGCCTTCCAAGGATGCAGCTCACTGGCAAGCGTCGTCATTCCCGACTCCGTGGCTGTAATAGGACTTCATGCCTTCAGAGGTTGCGGTTGCAGCTCATTGGCAGGCTCGTCATCCCCAATTCTGTCAGCATAGGATGTGACGCCTTCAAAGGCTGTAGCGTTTTGCCAGGGTGAGTACGTTGCAAGGTGCCCGAAACCTGTCGCAGCTTCACCCGAACGGCGCTTATGTGTGCCGGTGTGCTACACATGACGCAGCAGCAGTCCTGGGATTGTCAGCATGCGTTAAGAAAAAAGGGGGCGCGCCAAAACCTTTTGAAGAAACAGGTGTAAGTGAGGCCACGCTGTTTACCTCGGGCAAAAGGTAGGTTTCCCCGAGCTGAATAAGCCCCAAGTAGTCAGCGCGCTTGCGAAATAGGCGGCCCCTGCACTAGGTCCCCGAGTGCCCTTTTACCTATTTTTTGGGGGAGGGTTCCCTAGTAGACTACAGAAAAAAGTTGGTGCCCTTATTCTAACCTCTCCACTGGAGGACCCAGTGCAAGCTGTGAAAGCGTGGAACGCGAGTTCCATGTTGCTCCCCTTCGCCGCGCCGAGGGGAGCGAAACCCCCCTGGGGCGAGACATCGAGAGCCTTGAAATGTTGGTGCCGGACGCGCGTGTGGCGAATCTTGTGGCGGGCTCAACTTCTCATTGTCTCGCTCAGTAGCTTTGGCGCCCACGACAGAGCGGCACATCCTGCTTCACCTCTTCAGGATTCTTTTCGCATCGTAGGGTAGGCTCCGATTTGAGCCAACTGGCACAGAGCAAAGGCAGCGCGGATTAGCTTGACGCTTCCTTCGAACAGACATTAAGACCCCCTCAATGACAAACAAGTCAGCAGATTTAAGACACATGTGGTGGGCCGGCTTCACTTTTTATGACACCCTGGAAAGAAGGTTCCTCCGGCGCAAGGGCCGAATTTTGTGTGGGCCGGAAACCCGCAGATTCCATCTTGTCATTGCCCAGCACGCTGTGGAACCGGCTGAAGCAATGAAAGCGGCCAGCCCCAAACCCCAAACATGGAGCTATCATTGGTTGCAACTTCAAATTCGAGAGGCATGAAATTACACATGCTGAGTTCCGGGCTTAAACAACTAGGTCCCACAGTATGTTGCCCTTTTTTGGGGGAGGGTTCCCTACTAGAATAGACTACAGGAAAAAGGGCGCCCTTATTCTAACTTCTCTACTGGAGGACAGGTTCTGACGCTCTATGATGACCACCGACCGTTTTTTGTTGTTTTTTTTCATTTGGCAGGTCGACCGTCTACTGCTCCTCTTCTCCGCTAGCCGAAGCTTGGCCTCAGATGTCCAATTTTGACAGAGACACCCGAAGCATCAAAGGGACTTGGACAGGAGAGTCCCCGCGTGCTACTAAGGATTTTTTTTAAACGTGTTGTTTTCGCAGCCACGTCTTCCCCCGCATTTGGTTTCCTGTCAAGAGGGGCCAGCCAGAGCACTGCGAAAAGATCTCACGCTTGCTGGCAGAATAGGACATTTGGCAGAGTAGGCAGTAACCTGGTGACAACTGAGGCAAATGGGGTTGCAGTTCGTCCCCCTCACCTGGGTGCACCACCCCAAATTTGCTAGGTCCCCCAGTAGTGCCCCTTCTATTTTTTTTTGGCGAGGGAACCCTCCTAAAACAGATTACAGAAAAAAGGGTGCCCTTATTCTATCCTCTCTACTGGAGGACCTATACACTTGTTGTTTGGCTTCCTTTTTCTGGGGGTTTCCCTCGTGGTCATGGACCCACCTACCTGACAGCGCATATGTCGCGCTCAGGCAACCTGGCCGGGGTCAGGTGGCTCGTCCGCCTGGGCGCCAACCCGTCGTCCTGCGACACCAACGGCGGCCCGGGCGAAGCTCTGTGTTGGCTTCCTTCCTTTCACTTGCCCAAAGGGAATTCAAAGCGAATTGGCCTGTTGACTTCCATTTGCTGAAATGAATTATTGTGTATTTTTGCCTGTTGGTTTTAAAGGGCATCTATCACTACTGAGGCTCTGCCGGGTTAGCCATTTGTTTTCAGGTTTGGGCGGGTGAGTATTGGGTTTCGCTCGAAATGAGGGAATCTTCAATTGCTTGGTTTCCTTTTGGCTCCCCTTCAAGACCAAGCAAAACAGGTTTCCTTAAAAAACACACCCGTGCAGCAGAGAGAGAGAGAGAGCGAGAGAGAGCGAGAGAGAGCGAGAGATTGCTCTTGTGGATTGAGATGTCACCGTTTCGGTAGATTTTCCGTAAGTTCCCTTCGGCGGAATCGGGTTGGAGCCAGGGACTCCCCCAAAACAAGAAATGGCAAGGTAAAACCACACCGGAGCTATGTTCGGCCCGCATTTGGCCGGTTGGAGCGGATGGCTCCAAAATGAGATGCCCGGTTCATTGAGGCGACCTCAGGGCACGTTGATGTTCACATCCAATCCTCGGTGTGAAGCATCTCTCACTTGCAACGGCGAATCGACCTTTTGACCTTTTGGTTTCCCTTGTCGTGCATCTTAGTAAATTACTACGGTCCCAATTTGGTTTCCCTGGTTTGGGTCTCTCTAAATGATCCATTCTCAAGCTCCCTTCTTTTAAAGGGGGGGGACATCAAAAGGACAGTGACCATTTGCCGCCCCAAAAAAAAGAGGGAACCGATCCCTGAAAACACGCCTGCAATTAAAACGGTGAAACACTGATGCCACCATTGTTGGGCCCTGCCTCGTCCTCCTCAAATGCCCTGTAAGCATGGTCACTTCCCCCCCCTCCCCCTTCCCCAGGCACCACCTGCCTCCACGCCGCCTGCCGCGTCGGCGCCGTGGCCATCGTCGCAGAGCTGCTGGCGCAGCCTGGCGCCCCCAAGGCGACGCAGCCAATGGGGCGGCGTTTTCCCCAAATAGTGTTTGCACTAAGGGGTTCTTACGGTAAGAGTTAGGCCGGGTAAGATCGAGGTTCGGTACTATGTGGGGTCTCTTGCAGGGAGAACTGTTTTTTTTCTTTGGGAGAGCTTGGTGTTCTTTTGTTCGTTTCAATACTTGAGTTTGGGTTTAGTTGTTTGAGTCTTTGCTTTGAAAACAGGTTGAACAGTTTGGGGTTTTCAGATTTCCGTGGTCCGTTCTTGGTTGCTAATGAATCAGGTCCTTGTTTCCCCCAAGTTGGAGGATGGTCCTATGACACGGTTCAAAGGCGATCATGGGCCGCCCCTAACAGTGACAACCACCCCCTCCCCCCCCTGTCCGTTTTGGTACCGGAGGTCCCGCTTGACACAGCAAACGGGAGGATGGTCCTAGCTACTTTGGGAACTCAAAACGCGTGCGAACTCACATGGGACCCAACAACTGGCAGGACCCAAAAGGAGGCACCCAAATCATGTTGCTTGGCTCAGTTGCCCAAAGCCGACCTTTTGACCTTTTGGTTTCTCCTTTTTGGTCTAGTTTTAGTCATGGCCCCAAAAGGTTAACCTTTTATTTCTGGGTCCTTTGGGCAAGAGAATTGGGGTTTCATGCGAATCTGCAGGTGAAAAGGTGTTCGGTGTGCTTTTTACTTCCAGCCTTTCGGTGGCTGAGTTTAGCCAATTGCTTTGGCAATTGAGAGAGATGTTTGTCGTTGGTTGCTTTTCATATCACCCATTTGGTTTGCCAAGCCCATTTTGGCAAATCCAACCAGAAGCAGCAGCCACCATGTTTTTTGAGGGTAAGTAAAGGGAAGACGAGGAGTGGCCAAAATGGAGTGGAATTGTGCCATCTACTTCCACCAACTGCAGTACGAGATGCCTTCCACTACTCCTAAAGAAGCATCGCCCAGGGTACAATGGAATATGAAACTGGCCTGGTATATATTCCATGTGGTTTTGTTCATGTGGTTTTGTTCACCCAACTGCAATTCAGGTTATCCTTAATTGGTGATTTGGATTGGTGGTTTGGGAATTTGAACCCCTGACTCGTAGAGGGTAGGTGGTTAACCACAAAACCACCGGGCAACAAACCACCAATTGGAAGGAAGCTGAAACTTTTGGAGTCCCCCCCAAAAAAAAGGCTGGATGTCAAACCGTCGGGGAATAGAATAACTTTTGGAGTCTCAGAAAAACAAGAACAAAAACGCAGATGAGTCACACTCAATCCCTGGTATTAAAATTCAATCCCTGGTATTGAAATGAGTATACCCACAGCGATGTAAAAGGCCGGGTGGGCTGGGACATGGGCGTCGCCAGGGCGCAGTCGATGCCACGGACTGCGCGGGGTGGGCACCGCTGCATGTGGCGCTCTTCATGGGAAGGCGGCAGGCGGCTTGGTGTGGGACCGTTCGGACCGTTCGGAGTGCCTGCGCGGGTGGTTTTACATGTCTCTACGCGTTGACATGTTTGGTTTTGGCTGAATATGGAAGAGAGGCAGGAGATATGATGTTTTTTCAGCCGCAGATGTGGGCAAGTTTTGGAGAGATGTTGGGGTGTTGGTGTTGGGGTGGGAGGGTGCTGGGACGGGGATGAGGTGGGGGGGTTGGAGGGGCGTGAGGCGTGAGGGCTTTGGGGGTGTGGATGGCAAGATGTTGGTTGCTCATTGCCATCATGTAACAAGCATGAACGCTTCCGCGCATGACATAACTGCATGAAGCTGAGCAACCACCAAACCTTTCGTTGGGCACACGCCCGGGATGCTCGATCGATCCTATCCAACCAAGGTTGCAGCCTCAACACCCAAGCGTCGGTTCCTGATCAGCTGCATTTGTTGCACCCGCTTGGTAGGTCATGGTCTTGCACCGGGCAGACAACGCGTAGCTGTGTGTGTGAAGGAACTAGCCATGGACTCCCGGAGGTGAAACAGCTCACTTACCCGACATGGGGGTGGAATGTCGAATGGTATTGGCCCATTGGCTGTTATTGTCGTATTTTACTATATGTCTATTTACTGTCATCATTGTCTATTTGGTGAGCATATGCATGACAACCAGGGTGATCCGGGATGTTTTTTCTTTTCTTTGTTTTTTTCTTCTGGGGGTATGGACATGAATGGAGGTATGCATGTGTCTTTAGGGCAACACACAAAGGCCAAGGACTCACTTTCCCGGCGACTCGACCTGACGAAACGGCCAAAGTGCCTTTCCTTTTCTCGATGGCTGTAGGGCATTGACTGGTAAGTTTTCAGCTAGGGATCTGCATGGTTATGACTGGAAGTTCCCCCTGAAAGATCGTTTTACATGCAAACGAACCAGTGCAGAGGGACTAGTGGGGTATATTTAACAACTCGAAAGAACCTGCAGTTCAACATTTACAGCCGGGTGCTGTAGCACACCCCGCCCCCACGTAATGGATCCAAGCAAGCACGTTTGTTGTGCATCAACAAGTAAGGCGGTACGCATTTTTTGCCACACATGAACCCTTTGCTTGGACGTTCGACCCACTTAGTATGTTAGAACCATGGACCAATGATTCGGCAACAGGGCTGAGCGCCCTGGGCGTGTGTGGAAGGAACATCCAAGTGGCTACAGCAGTAGGGTTAGTTCTTCACCAATTGGTGCAACCACACCCTAACCTCCAAACCCAACCAAGCCAGATCACCATGGTTCTGACCTGCTTCAGCGAGCTGAAGATTCTTGTGGACGGAAGCCAAAAGGAGGTTCTTTAAGCAAAAGGATGTTCTTTGGTGTGACCAACCCTTTTGAACGGAAGCCAAAAGGTGGTTCCTTGAAGAACAACGAACATGTGGACGGACCAAAATGGGCTTGAGCAGGTCCAAAAAGCGCTTGGAGCAGGGCCAAAAACCGCTTGGAGCACGTCAGGTGAGCATGTATAAATCAGTAGGCGCTTGGAGCAGAGGTGAGCATGGGTCAAAAGCCCGTACCCCCAGCAAACATCCCAATCCCGGCTAAAATAGGCTCAAATTGGGTGGTGCACCTACCCCCAACATGGGATCCCATTGCTTTTGACCCACAGCCAGGTGAGCATGCTGTTGCTGCAGCAGGGGGCGGATCCCTTCCTGCGCACGCTGCGGGGGCAGACGCCCGCGGAGCTGAGCAGCGACCTTTGGCTGCGGGAGGCCCTTGGCGGTAGGGCGGGGGTGGGGTGACAGGGGCGGGGCTTGGGTTGGTTGGGGGGTTCTAGGGTAGTATGGGTTGGTTGGTTGGTTGGGTTGGGTTGGGTTGGGTTGGTTGGTTGGGGTCATTATTTTGTAGGGTCAGGGGGTCGCCTGGGGTAATTCTTTTGACTTGGGTTGTCAAAGGCCCAGGGGGTTCTTATAAGTATCTGGTAGGCACATAGACTAAACAGGGAACATCATCAGACAGACGTTTCTGTGTGCAGATGATACTGAGAACCCTGGTTGATTCTAGCAGGTAACACTTAGCTGGTGGTTTAAACGTTTAAACCCGTATTCTAGTGGGCAGACAATTGGTAATGTGAACCCCGCATCCAAGTAGAAGCGGTCCAAATAATGGGAGGGTGGGGGGCCCCTGCAAAAGTGTTATGACCCCCCACTAAAAAGCGACACCCCGATTCCGGGGTGGGAGCTTATCCATGCAGTGCTTGGTGCGTCCACTTGCTGATTTCCAGTTGGTGGATGAACATCATAGTTCCCTTACGGTGTACATGTTTCAAAGGCTGAATGTATGCGTCCATATATGAACCCCTGGTATGAACCCCTAGTTTATCGGCTTGATACCCACTGATTATGCCCTGATTTTGGGAAACCACTCACCAAAGGGTTCCGAAATGGCATGGATTCATACATATATATATATATCTACATATACATTGGTTCGTACTATCAACAGTTGAATTTTGAGGTGGTTGTCAAACATTTTGTTTGGGTTGGTTTCGCTTTGAACCAGTATGTAGAAGCTGAAATCAGGATGTCGCTGCAAATGACAGTGCTCCAACTACTGGGTATGATGTCAACGCCTGCCCAAAGAACAGAGGTAGCAACTTGAACGGAAGTAACTGCCATTTTGAATTTGAGGATCGTAGGGCAGCAGCCTTGATTTGTTGTATGTCAATCCGTTTTTCAAAGAACCTTTTTGTTGTTGAATTAAAAGAAACGAAAACCAAAAGGAACCCCCCCCTCCCCATTTTGCAAAAAATGACATGGTCACTGGCTGAGATCTGTCTAGGCATGCTGCCACACCCCTTTGATTCTTGGTACGGTGGATGGACGAAATCCTGCACCACCTAATAAGAAGCCCATGGTTGAAACCACAGTTTGTTGGTATTTACAGCGGAATCAGACCACTCCAGGGTTCCTTAGGTGGTGCGAAGTAGTACGTGAGTTGTTTTTTCTCTTTTGTTTTTTCCGGGTTTCAGGTGGTCCAGAACTACGCGGAGCACCGCGAGCAGCGCCTGAGCCACAAGTGGCAGCCGCCAGCCATGCAGGCGCGGATGGAATGATAAAGTCTAGACTGATCAGCACACGGTGTCCTCTGGGTCCAGCTAGGTGCCCTTTCTCACCGTTTCTTTTTTGGGGTTTGGGGTTCCCCTACTAAAATAGACCTACAGACAAAAATCGGGTATCCTTATTCTAACCTCTCTACTGGAGGACCTAGTCCTTGGGATCATAGGTGTTCTTGTTCTAGTTTGGCTAGAAATGGATGGGCAAGCCGCTGGCTTGGGTGGGATTATTAAACCATTTACCAGTGCCATCTATTGTACCAGAAGGACACCTGTCTCCAAAACCCAGCGATTTGTTTGTACTAAAACACACATCTCATTGTGTCCACATAGCAGGCATAACTTCCCCCGATTTGACAAGATCAAGTATTTATTGTTCCCAACTCGCCGAGGGAACCCCTTTTTTTTTGAACGGCTGCTAGGAGGAGCTCCTGTGCCCCTGTTTATCACCAAAAAAAACTCCAAGAGGCACCCAAAAGGAATCCAGGAACCTTATTGGCCCCAGATAGGCTTACCAATCGCTATGAGCCCCTATTGCAGTTAAGATGCCTTCCTATTTCTGAGTTGTTCAAAGCGATTCGACCTGAAATGACCTTTCGGCTTTTCCTTTTCGGGGCTCCATTCTTTTTGCGTGGCCTGAACATGTGACCTCCTCGTTTTTTACCAGGTCCCAGCTGGGGGCAATGACTTCCATCTGGTTCAGAATATGTTTATATTTCCCCCTCTTGAGTTTTAAAGGGAATCTATCACTACTGGACATATGTTTATTTTTTCCAGGGGACTTGAAGCAAATGGAGGATGCGAGATGTTGGGGCCGTTGGGGCTGTTGGGGCCGTTGGGGCCGTTGGGGCCGACGCCTCGACGCCAGGCGCCCGGGGACATCCAAGTGGCCTCGCGGCTGCGCTTCGAGCCCTTCTTCGTGCCGCGGCAGCCGGTGCTGAAGGACAACTCCACCTCCGAGCTGCAGACGCTTGGAGTCGGATTTGGGTTTTGAAGGAGAAGGAGAACCACACTGGGATTGCCTTGTGGTCAAATGCTCGCTTCCTGAGTTCATGAATCTTTGAACCAATTTCGGGAAGGCCATGTTAGTGATAAACAAAAAGGTTTAGACCAGCATATGTTTAGTGCCCTCTCATGTGGCTCCTTTGCAAAAAATGTGGCTGGGTCCTGATGAAAATATTCATATTCCCGGGTTGTGGTGGGAACTGTTGCCGTGGCCGTTTATGCACCCAGCGAGCCCAGCAGTGCGCTTGGCCCAACCGATTCCTTCAGAATACCCTTGCACTTGCAACTGCAACTGCGATGTGGCCATGTTTTTTTGGATTAGTAGGCAACCACCTCAAAAGTGGATGGTCATACTGTGGATGGACACAATCCTGCACCACCTAAGAAACCCTGGAATGATGTGACCCCCTGTCAAGACCACAAACACTGGTGATTTCGTCCATCCACAGCAGCTCCCCTGAAAAATGTCCACCATGTTGGGAACCAAAAAGTCAGAGCCATGATCCCATGCCGGAGAACTCGGGAAGCATCCGAAAGCCACGTGTGGGGTCGGGGTTACTTGAGATCAAATGCCGTTTTGCACCCACCCAGGTCAAGAACATTGCTTGGGAAGTGGAAATGACTAGGGCTGCGAGCCTAGGTGGCCTTTTTGGTTGTTTTGGTCAGAAAATAAATGGCTCTGGTTTAGCTGGTGGTTACATCATCTACCAGGGCCATGTGTTTGCCCAAAAAGGACACCTAGGTCTTCGACCCTATGGGCAAATTTCATGGATCGAACACCCGCGCTGGTTTTGTTCGGGTGATCGCAAGGAAGCTGGGCCGGGAGATCTTCAACCATCGCCCGGGCCAGGGCAGCTTGTCCGAAAGAGGCCCTGGTAGCCCTCAAAGGGTTTGGTCAGGTTGACCCCGCCCCGGATGAATAAACTCGTCCCACCACCGCAAGGGGACACCCCCAATCAAAATCAAACCTCGTTTTTGTTTACCCTTCCTCCCGCAAACATAGCACCCGTGGGAGTGTATATTTCCTTTTCCAGGGACCCCCTGTGAGGTGCCATGGGCAACGCGGGAGGGAGGGTAATCTGGCTGTGGTTGAAAAACAGGGGTGCCTGGACAAGACTAAAGACCTTGCGGTTTGCCCCAGGTCTTTACTTTTGAGCCACACCCAAATCGGGTCAAACCTTCCGCGTGGATGGGCAAAAGGGACCAATTTGGCTCAACCCTTTCGTGCAAACGGACACGAAAAGGGAAACCAAATTTATATCATCTGGGACACCTTCAGGACTGGCCTTCGTGGTGTCCTCCGGCTGCATCAGGGACTTCCCGGTGGAGCTGAGCGGTTTCCTGGGCCAAAACCAGGCACGGGGTTGCCCTGCCAAACGGTGCCGCAAACGTTTCCTTTTCGTTATTTTTCTTCGGTGGGGGGAATGAAGGGCTTTGCGGGGGTTGGGGGGTTGGGCAGGCGGTTTTATGTTTGTTTTTTAAAGCTTCACTTCTTCAAAGCCGTGGGTTTTCTCCAAAAGTGGGAATCGTTTCAATGGACACCACCAGTAAATTGACCAGCTTTTGTGGGGAAATCCAATGACCATCACTTGTGGGATTCCGTTTCAGTCCATGTTCAGCAAATGTTCCAGGTTTGTTCGGCAAGTAGACCAGGATTTTGTATTTTTATTTTTTCTGTTGGTTACCGAGCCTGAAAGAAAGACACGCAGAAAGGGTTTTCTTGTTCTTGGTGGGGTAGGAGAATGAACCCCATTTTAACCACCAAAGGCTCCACATATGAGGTTATTCCGCTTTCTACTGAGAAGAAGGTTGGACAAGCTTATCCAACTTTAGGAATCCAGTCCTTTATCATCGTTTTCGACTTGGCTGGTTGCAGGGGGCGGCTAGCAATCACTTTTCTCCGTAGCTTGTCAACTTTCAAAGGGGGTCCCACAACGGATACATTGGGTCCAAATCCCCACCTGCTGATGGGGAGCCCCTTGAGCAGCTGGTTTCTGGATGTATCTCACGGCACCCTGTTCTTAAAGGAACCCTGTTGGTTTGGTTCAAAGGACTCCTGTCGAGGGTGGTTCGTCCAACCAATTTTTGGTTTCCTTTGGGACTCCCCAAAGCCGGTTCATTCCCACCCGCACTTGTCGTTTCCCATGGCAGCTGTAAGCGTAAAGGAATCCAGGAACCAAGGGCTGTTGAAGGTGGGGGGAAATCGGTGGCAGCCCCAAAAGAGGGGTTTTGGTGTGGTTCAAAGGTCTCCTGTTTAAGGCGGGGTAAAATGGTGCCAGGTCTGCCCTGCGCGGGTGGGGGAGTTCCTGGGGGAGGACTACTCGCTGTCCCAGACGCTGCGACTGGAGTTCATCAACTCGGTCAGGCCGGAGCTAGGCAGCCGCACACCACTCGGCAGTCGGGATTGCCACCTTCAGAAACCCATGCACAATGACTTGATTGCTATTGGGTTGGATCTTTAGACTTCAACTTTTTGGGAAATCAAGTGTTTGTTTCCACTAAACCCCCAAAAAAATAATCTTTTTGCAGAGGGGTCAACAGCAACCAAGATGATTGGTTTTGAAAAGAACCATGGCTGAAAGAACCATGGGGAATCAACCCCTAGAGTAATTCCATGGCATTGGATGGTCCTTAATGGCCAGTAGGCAATTGTTGGGCAATTGTTGTTCCCATGGTTTTAGCATGGTTTATGCGGTCGTACTTGCCCAAAGCCGACCTGGTTTTCCTGATTTGGTCCATATTTAGGCAAGGTCGGTCCCAAAAGTGATCACCTTTCTTCGCCATGCGACAGGGCCCTCAACGGATGCCAGCTGTCGGTTAAAGTAACACATTTAATGTTTGTTGCCTCGATATAGCGGAAGGGTTGCCATCGTTTTGACCTACTACCATGCAAGCAAGAAACCCAGCAGTTTTAGAGGACTCTCCATCTGGGGACCCCTTCGTGGGTTGCGTGTGAATTCGTAGCGTATAGTTCCCTTCTCATGTTTACAACCACCCTGCCCCAGCCCATTTGCCTACCCTACCCTGTCCCATTGCCCAACCACCTTACCCTACCCTCCTTACCAACCCAATTCAGGGCTAGTTGCCAACAACTCACCAACTTGGTATCGAGCACATTCGAGCACCCTACCAGAGTGAACCTTTTTGTGAGGCGACCCTTTGTTGTGTCTTTTTCAGGGAACAAAAGGAAAACCCCGGATCCATGTTGCATGGGTTCCTCTATCCCTACTGTGGGTGGTTTGCGAAATCCGTTCCTGCACCACCTACTAAGAAACCCTGGTTTCTGATTCCTGCAAACACCAACAAACCTTCTGGTTTCCAGTTGTTTCCAAGAATCCCACCTACTAAGAAACCGTGGTGCAATGAGTTGATTTCCCTGCAAACACCAACAAACCTTATGGAAACCCTGGTTTCTGTGTTGATTCTGAACCCCCGGTTCCTGCGTGAATTCTCTCCGAAACATCACTACCGCGCCAGACCCGCCACGGCTTCCGCGCGCGAAACCCGCGCGCGGCGCATTTCGCGCGCGCGCAAGAGGCTGCTGGGCACCGGCGTGGCCTCCTGCCTGGCAAAGGTCTTCAAGGCCATCGCGCCACGGCGGCGTGTAGCGAGCGGCGCCAGCGGAAACTTGGAGCTATGCATGTGGGAAATTCCGCCTTGTGTTGGTTTCAACTTGCTTTTTTTTTGGGGGGGGGGATGCCTCAAACTTTTTTCAAGTTTCTGTTGCCAACTTTTTTTTTGGGGGGGAAGGGTTCCGATTCCTTGAGCCTCAGCCAAGAAAGGATGTCGACCTTTTTTCATCAGTGGAAATTCGCTGGGCATCTGAGTATGTGACATGTGGCGGTTGGTCTGTGTTGGACCCCTAGAATTTGGGGATCGGCAAAGGAATGATTTGTGTTTTCCACGACGTGGGTTTTCAAGGGTTGGAAACGTTTTTGGAGTGGTGGATCGACATGATGCCCACCAAAGGGTCCAGGGTTCATTTAAAGTGCACAGGTAGTGGGTGTGTTTGGAGGTTCCCGTTTTTTGGGTTTGGTTGAAGGGAAAGCAAGAGGAAAGTCAAACAATTGTTTGGCCCCCTGCAGTGCTTCAGGGCTGCAACTATAATGTCAACTTGGGGTCAAACCGCAGGACTGTGCCAATCAGGGGCGGGGGGCGGTTCTGGTGGAGAACTGATTTGTTTGCGATGCTTCCGATGACCAAAGGGTCTCTGCAAAAGCCTGCTGTTGTCAAGATGAAGCGCCTGCTTTTTTTGGAACCCTTTTGGGCGGGCCCGGGCCCCAAAGAATGCCGTCCCGAAAGGTGCCCGATCAGATCTTGGGCAGGTCAACGTACAACCAGAGTCAGTCGGTGCGGCTTTCCGCCCGAAAAGGGTCTTCGCATGTTTTTGGGGTAGCCGATTTTACCAGATCTTGATGGTGACCCAAGAAATCCCTGGGCCAATTGCTGGCAAATTGACTGTCGACCATCTTGTGACCAAGGACTTTTCCCTGTAAATTGTTTTTGCTTGGCCTGGTCTTGGTAATGTTCACCCATATTAACCAACGCCAGTTTATTAATAGGGGGTGTCCCTGAGTTTAGTGGGGAATCATCACTTTTGGAGGGGAACACCCCCCCTATCAATCAACTGGGGTTGACTAATACGGGGTCAACATTACAGAGTTAGTTTCGTTCCAATAGACTTCAATGAGGTTTCACACCGTCGCTGAAATCATCTGAAACCGTGATACTCTGAATTTGGTTGCTGTCCACCTGATAGCACTGCTTATAAAACGGGTTTGTTCCCTAGTTACTGAAGTTGGAACCATAACTATTAACGTGGGCACTGTCGTTTCGGGGTCCTGGTTTGAACCATTTTAAAGGTGCCGAGTCCCTGTCAGGTTCCATGTTACTGGGTGGGAGGGTATTTGCGAAACTATGTGTTGAACATCCAAGTAGGGAAAGCCCCAGTTACCCAAGTTGTAGCCATGCTTATAGCCTACTTCTAAGTGGGTCGCCATGGTGAGAACCTACATACTAAGTGGGTTGAACATGGTCGAACATCCAAGGGAATCCAAGGTTGAACATCCCAGTAGGGAGATTACCTACGAACGAAGTGAGTTGAACATCCTGGATGTTCAAGCGGATGGAGGCAAATAGGGGATAGTCCCAACTATACATATAGGTGCGGATATTTTGCCTTGTTTTTCCCTTTACATGGCTTTGGGTCCACCATTGCACTACCAGGTTTTGGTTGTGACTTAGGCTGTAAAGCTTCAGTGGAGAAAACGGTTTGGATGTGGCGAATCTGTGGATCCACCCCTGTAGGAAATTAATCGTATTAAACGAGTGCTATTTAGAAAGGACCGACCGGGGGGAAGAAACATCGGTGAAACCCACAGAAGTCGCAAATCCAAACCGTTTTCTAGATACATGATGTCCGGTAACTAGCTACTTGGCATATGGGAGATTGTTCGGGTTTCCTTTTCCAAGTGGGTTTTACCCTCAAACCATGCCTCTAAGCACGCAGGGAGGAAAAGTGTTCTGATTCCCACACCCAGGGTGGCACCGCCTATTAATCAACTGGGCTTGATGAATCTGGGGTCAACATTTCCCTATCCCCTACCCTTAGTAGAGGGGTTTTACCTTCAAACCAGGACTCCTAATCCTGTCCTCTTAGTAGGGGGCAAAAGTGGTGATCTTCTTGGCTCAGCTCACTTCCTGAGTTCATGAACTTTAAGCTTTTTGTGAAGACCCGTTTAGTAGTAAATATGGCCATGGGTCAAAACCCCGTGCCCCCAGTGAACATCGCAATGCCCACTAAAATAGACTAAAATGGGTGCACCTATCCCAAAATGTTACCATTGGTTTTGAACCATGGCCATGGTTGGACTTGTTTTGGGCCATCCACTCAGTCAGTGAGTCAGGTGATCCCCACCGAGATGGTGAAGATCGACCGCCTGGTGGACGGCGTCGCGCAGATCTGGTGGCGCCAGCATGAGCAGCTGGCGAAGAAGGGCGGCCCAGCGTTGACGGGATTCCACGTTTGTTGTCCCTTTCATTTGCTTCAGAATATGTTTATAATATAATATATATATATATATACATATATATATATGTATTTATATGTATATATATATGTATATATATATATATGTATATATATATGTATATGTATATATATATATATATATGTGGTACCCCCCAGAATACTCAGGTTTTGGGCAAGACATTGACATGTTGGCTGTAACAGCGCGCGTCAACCGCACTTTCCAGCTTCGCAAAATGATGCTCTAAAAATGCGCTTTTTTGGACTTGAATTCTATCACCGGTACTTAGTGCAATCCAGGGTGTGCTTGCACGTGCTAGCACATCCTTTATTGAAGATCGAAGATTGAAGATTGTCTGACAACTCTTTCTGCGAATCTTCAATCTTCAATCTTCAATGCATGATGTGCTAGCACGTGCTAGCGTATGTTAGTTTGTTCTAAGCATAGAATTGAAGATTTCCAGAACTAGTGGTCTGATAATTTTCAATTTTTGAATCTTCAATCCAGCACGCGCTAGCACGCGCGAGTACATCCTGGATTGCCCAATTTACAAACTTGTGTAATTTCATCAAGAATTGTCAGAAAATCTTCAATCTTCAACCCAGGACGTGCTAGCACACGCTAGCACACCGTATCCCGAACAGTTTCCTTCAAGACTGCAAACCAAACCTCGAACTGATAGGAATCTGCTTAAACTTTCAGCCAGCCATCCTCTTTGGCTAAAACAATCTCGGGAATCCAACAGTTTCTAAACGCACGACTCCCAACAACCTTGAGAAATCGCCAAACGCGCACACCCCAAAAACAGCAACAAACAAAACCGCAGGCACAAATTGTCAGCTGAATGTTCAATCCATAGCAGGGTTTCCACTTGCTTAAGACTATTGTTTACTTTCAAGGGAGGGTAGCTTAGTTCCACCTGTTGGTTTTGAAGGGAAATCATCGCTACTCTAAGTGTTTCGCATTCGCAAATTCAGGATTGGTTTGCTTTTTTCCCCGGGGTGCCGCGGATTTGGATTCGAACCTCTGGCTCTTGTGGGTCAATGGCTCGAAAACTGCGTTTACCAGTGGATAAAACAGGCTTCTTTCAGGATGCGCTTCGGCCAGTCCAAGCAGGCAATACCTTTACGCCAGCTGATTTACATGATCTTTGTGTAAAGAGGGGTGGTTCTTGGATGCATCCTTGAAGGGACCTGGTTTTCTCATTGTTGCTGTTTTTTTTGAGGGGAGCCAACGCAATCATGTTCTGCTTTGCCCACTCTTTGTAGTCTTCGGGGTGAGGTTCCCTATGTCAGCCCACGACACGCTTCTTTTGCCTTAGGGTCACAGTCCCTGTGTTTCCTGTTTCCACCCTTGGTCCAAACGTCAGCTACCTCTCATTCGGTGGTTTGGATTGGTGGCTTTGGATTTGCACCCCTGGTCCTTGTCAGAGGGTAACTGGGAAACAACCCCCTTACCACCAATAGCCCTCCCTGGACCATCCACAAGACCGATACTGAGCCGAGATTGATGAATAGTAGGTTGTTGCTTGTTCAAAGGTCCTCTATATTGGGGGCGAAAGGTTGTTCATCCTGAGTCAGCAGCATAACCAAGTCTTGATTTGGACGTCATCGGGCTCCAAACCACCAATAAGTGGGAAGCTGAGAAAGAATGGTAGCATGTTGTTTTTTCCCCCAGGTTATCCTCCTTCTTCGTAAGGTGACCAGGTGTCGATGGAGGGGCCAGAAGTACAGGGCCTGCAGCTGATGAAAAGCGTCGGCAGCTACGACATGTTGCGCCCTGGCTGCAAAGTTCACCGGCACACAGCTCCCATGACACAAATCGGTGAGGTTCACGAACGAGTATTGGTTCTTCCTATATGGCTGTGGGTCAAAAATGGGTGCCCAAAATGGAACCGTGGTAAATGGCCACGACTAAAACTGTGTAACCCCTAACTCTTTAATTTTGAGCCACACACACATGGTTCTAACTGTAGGCCTCTTATACCTGGATCTTATTACGACTCAAATGAGGGCAGCCAGGTGTGAGATCAGGACTCTGCTAACATGCAACACGACCTATTCGAAAAGCCCGAGCCGATGTGTAGATGCATGTTCACTTATTCTTTGTGTTTGTTTGTTTTAAGTCTCTTTTCTATTTGCTTTCTTGTTTATGTATCGCAGAATATCTCTCTATATGATGTATCTAGGTCCCCCAGTAGTTTCACCCTTTTTTGGGGGAGGGTTCCCCTTTAAAAATAACTACAGAAAAAAGTTGGTACACTTATTCCAACCTCTCTACTGGAGGACCTAGGCAGATGTCGATGTTTGGCGCCTCGGGACATTTCCTGAGGCACCAGCTCATGTTCAGCGCCATTTTGCTGCACTGGAACCTCTACGCACCCCTGCCGCAGAGTCAGCGCGTCACCTTGGAGCAATGGCTCGAGATCTCCGACGTGGAGGCGGAAGGAGAAAGAAAAACCACTAGAAGAACTCCAAGCCACCAGTCCAAACCACCAGGACAGGAGGGAAGCTGATGCTTGAAGCTTATGGCGTTTCAGGGGGTTGCCAGTGGTAAAGCCACGGTGAAGTCCAACTTGAACCAAAGGTGCGCGGTTGGAACCCTTCCCGGGGATTCGGGTCAAACTGGGCTTGGGGCACTAGAGCGCTCACCTCTGCTGTCTAGTTTTGGTCCTTTTTAGGGTCTTACTTGCCGTGCATGGCTTCCCTTGTTACAGTTGTTTGTCTTTTGAAGGTAGGAGGATGTATTTCACGGGCTGCTCATTTGTCAGCTGTGAGTGAACCTTAGCATGGCGCTAGTTGAGCAAAGGATGGTTTCCTCCCTAGGATGCCGCGAGCCCTTTTTTTTTGGGCGTGAGACATGGTCTTCAATTTGCTGAAATGAATATTTTGTGTTTTTCCCTGTTGGTTTTGAAAGGGAATCTATCACTACTGCACATATGTCTGTTTCCCAGCGGACTTAAGCAACTGGCAGGTTGGGTGTGGAATCCCTTTTTTTCCCTGGTGGTTCCCAGCCATCCACTTCATTGGTTTTGCAGTTGCTGTTAGTTGGTTTAGTGGCAGGTATACGAAACCACGAAAAGATATTCACTTTTTAGGAGGGGATCTTCTTTCCTCACTTCTTGAGTTTCGTTTGGGACTCTAGTCACACTATGGGTTTGGACCAGTTTTAAAGACTAGATACTTTGTCTGAGCCATCCACTCAGGAAGTGAGTCAGGAAACATTTCGACGTTCAGCGGAGGAATTTGCTGAGGATCGCAACCTAGGTAACAGCCTCCCAAGGTGGTGGACTTATGTCTGGTTTTCACAACCCTCCAAGCCACAACCCACATTGTGCATGTATATGTATATTTATATATAGAAGTGTATATATATATATATATAGATGTGTAGATATGACACCTTTGGATTTTGCGGCCACATAGCGGTTGTACATCCCACCGAAATGTATATAGTCCCAGTCCTCCACGGCGCATGTATTTTTTTTCTCTGGGGCGTTCAAAATTTGAAATCAAGTACCAAACAGCGTTTCTGTTGTTTGCATGGTTTTCTGGGGGTTTGGGACATGCGCGTTCAAAGTGAAGTTTCGCCCGATGGCCTCTTTCCTCTGCGGGCTGGGTTTTTGGGAGAGAAAACACCGCAACACCCATCCCATTTCGGTTGTCCACACCTTCGGGATGGTCCTGTGGAGTTTGACTGGCCCACAGATGTTAGGCACCGTCACCGTTCTCTTCTGAACACCCATAATAGTTCTGTTCGAGGCTACGCTTCGGAAGTGTTTTTTTTTTGCCTAGCCCTGGCACAGGGCTAACCCTGGCAGGTTGGTTGGTTGATTGGTTGGTTGGTTGGTTGGTTGGCGGCTGGGTTCACGGTAGGTTTAGTGTAGATTTGGGATTACCCTTTTTGGGTAAGTCGAGGCCACCTACCTTAAACCACCCTAAGCCCACTTAAACAAAACCACAGAGACCAACCACAAGAAGCCATCTACCTCAAGCACAGCCACCCCCAAATTTGCTCTCAATAGGCCTGGAACCGACCCGGAGCCAACCCCTGAGCCAACCTGGAACCCACTGAGGATGTTGAAAACGATGCTGAGGATGTTGAAACAATGACGGGCCTCGACCTGCCTAGAAGGACTACCCCAAACCTATCCTAACCCCCGTTTAGTGTCTCCTTTCGTGCACGCCAGGCTGTGCCAGGGTTAGGCTAATGCCAGGGCTACGCAAAAACACAAAAAAACGCCTCAGCCCTACGATTCCTATTTTGAGACAAGACCCTGAGGGAGGGGCCACGCTGAAGCACGTCCAAAGCCTCATCTATGACGCGCCTCTGAAGCGAGTGGTCGGGTTGAGCCGGACGGGCTTGGCATACGGATCCCTGCAACAGGAGAACAAGGGAGTTTCTGTTTGCCCCGTGATGTACCCTGGTTTTGTGGTTGAGTTTCTAGTTTTTTTTTGCGTGACTTACCGTGGTTTTGTGGCACCAGTTCGAGCATCACCTGTACCCTGCCCAGGGGCTTTGGGTCCGAAAGGGCGATCACCTGAGGAAAAGTGGGGGAGGCGTGGCACTCGGCGAAGTGGCGGGCTGGTTCTTTTTGTCAATGGCCGTTCTGCTCCGGCGCCCATGTTCAACCCTTGGCCGTTGGCCGTTCGCACCCCAAAGGGGGCACCCGGTGCCATGGTCGAAAGACCTGGGGTGCTTGGGGCACGAATGGCAAAACGGTCCCTCGTGTGGCTTAAAGGAATTTGGCCGTGGGTCAAAAAACCGGAATTCCAAAATGGAACCCTGGCAAGTGGAAACCTGGACCAAAACCTGCGTAACCCCTCCTGTTTAATTTTGAGCCATAGCCATTTATCCATTTTTTTCCTTGACCTTGAGTTAGCTTCCAGGATCAGGACCGCTGAGAGGTTATCGCTGCAATAGATATCCAGGGAGCCTTTGCGTTATACTTTCGACATGGCGAGTCTCATGTTGCCGTCTCAGACTAGGATCTCAAGCGAAGTCTAGCAACTGGTCTCGGGCTCCTGTTTGAGGTTTGTTGGGGCGAAGGAACAACTGCCACCTTCAGCTTTGACGCGTAGCAAAAAAACATGTAGCCTCTTTGCCTTTGAGAATTGCGCGCTTTGTTGACGCATGTTGACGCGTAGGTTTGGTTCAGGCACCCCCGCTTACCCACATCTACTGGGAATTGTGCCATCTACTGCTTTTCAGCGAAACCGGATCACTTGAGGAACCAGCCTAATCCGCCAGATTTACCAAGTCGACACGGCCACTTGCGCCCTTTTTTGGTTGCTGCCCCCCCCGTTTCCTGCCTATGGCGAGCCTCGTTTCATTGCCCTATTTCGCCTTTTTCGGGTTTCCTTTGTTTTTTTCGAACACTTTCTGCAGGTTGTCGGATCAGTCTGGCCCAAAAGGGTCTTATTTCCTGCTGGGTTCCTTGGGAGACGTCCCAAGGTCATCAGCCAAAACTTCTACCCCCAGCTGGAGATCTGGAAACCTCGCGCGCCTCCAAAACTCGAGGCTGGGATTTGCATATGGCGGTGGTCCGCTTTTTTGGGGACCTTTTTTCTTTTTGGGTGGGGGACCAAAGGATAACGACCCAGCGTGGAGGTACCCTACACACACAAACCCACGCGCACACACACACACACACTGGGCCTCATGAGGGATTGTAAAGTGACGAGCGCCCCTCATGCAACCACTGGGCCCGAGAAGAAGGATACCATTTTGACCAAGCAAAAAGCAATGGTTCCCCAGCTGATTCAGAGGATCCGATCTTCCAGCAAGGCGGGTTTTCCTCGGTACATGTGCCTCGACAAAAGCCAAGAGGAAAAAAATGTCTCAAATGGTTGGACGGAAATGCCACATGCACATATGTGCCTCACCCCCGGAGTTGATGGAACTTTTTGGGAAGACAATTCTAGCGGTAATACACAGTTTAGATAACTGTTTCTAGGTGCGGGTTCCCCTACTGAAATAGACTACGGAAAAAAGGGTACCGTTATTCTAGCCTCTCTACTGCAGGACCTAGGGTTTGTGGCCAATCCACTCGATAGGCTGCGGAATTAGTTTCCACCAATTCCGAAAATGCAAAACACCATTCACCCAAAGATTTACTGTATGGGGTTCCTATGGTTTTGGCTGTAAAAGGCGTCCGAAACATGAAATCTGCCCGACCATGTCCTGAGGTAGAAGGATCCAACAGGATCCCAACCTCCAAGTCATGCAGGGGTCGAATTGGCAATTTGTTTTAGTAGCTGGGGCCATTCCGAAACTTCCTGGTCATCATGGACTCGAGTCACTTTTTGGGAAGCCCATTTTAGTGGCAACTAAGAACAGTTGGCGTACTTTTGTTGGCCAATCAGCCCAGGTCTGGAAGTGAGTTTTAAGGGGACGTTCAACTTTCTTGCGATCCACAGGCACTGCAAACGCGCAATGAAATTTATGTTGCGTATCAAGTCATTCTTCATTCATGAGGTTCGCCATGTTCTTTGCCTTTTTGCGAAAAAAAATGGCTAGTTGAGCCCTCAAGCCTTAGGATGTTCAACCCGCTTAAAGTCTCAAGAATGTCAACAGTCTTTTCCCGAAATGAAACAGGAGCTTGAATAGCCCAGGTGATGGCTTGTATGCCACTCATTTATTTAACCCCCCCAGGGAGGTAGGGAAAGTGTAGGGGATATTGAAAGTAACCACACAAACAAACAAGCCAAGTCCATTGTTTTGCTTCCCATTTCTCGCTTCCGGGCAAGGAGGCCGGGAGGTATTGGAGCCCATCCCAGAAAGACACTCACACTTGTTACGAAGGGGATGGGGTGCAGTTAGCAGTTGTAAAAATGGTTTGACCTAGAAACCCAGAAGCTTCTCTGATTAGGGTGGAGTTTCGCCGAGCGCGCGGCTCGAGCCTTGGCAGGCGCAGTCGGTGCCGGAGGCGGAGGGCTGGGGCCGCATCGTGGGGGGCTTCCCCTCCCTGGCCTTCGCCAGCGCCCACAGGCAATGGGTTTCGGGGCGATGGGTTTCGGGGGTTGGTTTTGCACGGGGTGGGGTGGGCGGCTTCGGGGGGTGTAGGGGGCGGTTGTGGGGGTGGAGGAGGAGGTGCTTGTGTGTGTTGAGGCGATTGGTTTCGGGTTTTGGGGCTTTGTGGGGTGGGGAGGAGCTGGTTGGGTGTGTTGGGTGGGGAGGAGGTTGGCGGGGGGTGATGTTGGGTTTCCGGGTCTGGGAGGAGGGCGGGGGGAGGGTTGCGGGGTTGCGGGGCTGCGGGGCGGGCGGAGGGGGAGGGGGGGTTGCAGAGTTTGAACCTTCTTTCAGGTCAAGTGCGCTTTGATCTTTGGGCCAGTGATTCCACACACCAAAGGGTTCCCAATCGAAATCCAGACCCATCCATACCCAGTGGTTTTCTCAAATGCACAAGCTTATGGGTGAAGCCGCGCACAACTGTCCTTGGACTCGCTTTTGCGGACTCCTTTCAGTCTCAGCCTGCTTAAGACAGAAACATCCCTTCGGTTGTGGGAGGCCGGTGGCCTTGTTTAACTGCTCGCTGGGAATTTGTTCGGTTCTTGGAGTGGGCCCATCTTTGCAGGGGGTCTTCTACTGTAACTTCCTCTCATGGGGGGGCGAATAGTTTACTACTGAATCTGCTTTTGAGGAAGTGTTGATTCCGGATTCACAAAGCCTTCCCATTCATAGGGATGCTCCTCCTCCAAAAGTGGGCTGACTCCCGACAAAAAGGGGACACCCCCAAATCAAATCAACCAAAAGTTGTACTTAGGGGTGCCCACAATCCCATTCTACTTGTTTAGCCTCCTCTCCACGTTGCTATGGAACCCACCAGAGGGTTCCTACAGGAAAAGAAGCCGTCTTCCACAACCCTGAACTTTAGCTAGGTCCCCCAGTGCCCTTTCTCACCCCCTTTTTTGGCTCAGAGGGTTCCCTTACTGTAGACTACAGAAAAAGGTTGGTACCAACTTATTCTAAAACTACTGGAGGACCTAGGTTTGCAGCCAAGCCACTGCATTGGCAGTGGAATTTGTGTCCAATGCCGAAGATGCAAAACACCCTTCACCCAATGACCCAAGACAATTGCCATGGTTTTGGCTGTAAAAGGTGTCCGAAACACGAAAATCCCCCCCACCACCCCCCCACCCCCCCACCACCCCACCACACCCCCACCACACCCCCACACCACACTCGTTAGGTTGGCTTCCTGTGACCGGGGGAAACCCCAGCCCAGGGTGGACAACTACCGCCACCTCCGCAGCATCCTCTCCGAGGGTACCGCCACCTCCTTCCTGCAGAGCCCCGAGCCCAGCCGCGGCGAAGGCGCGGGGAGGAAACGAAGCCGGAGGACATGGCTGTGTGGCTGTGGTGGTCAAAACCGTTTTGGGATCAACCAGTTTGGTTGGGATTGGTGAATTCACCACCCATTTTAGATTTCCTATTTTAGTGGTTGGATTGGATTGGGATGTTCACGGGGGGGTACGATTTGGATTTTGACCCATGGCATACCCGCCCGCCAAAACCCCGGCCCACCCGCCTGCCCCCCCCCCCCCAAGCCGTCAGGCGGGGCAGCGAGGCCAGCGCAGGTGCCGGGCTTCGGGGAGGACGACTACGTGCACGGCGGTTTGGCGAAAAGCGTTGGGGTCTGTTCCTGTTCTTTTTTTTTAGCTGGTGTCTCAAAGGCTGAATGCAATTTGTCCAATACACACACACACACACATATATATATATATATATGAACACCTGGTATGAGCCCCTAGTTTATCGGTATATTAACCGTTAGTTGTGGCTTAGTTATTGTAAATCAGCCCTGAATGGGTTCCAAATGGCCAAGGGTTCATGTATATATATATATGGACCCATACAATCATTGGAGTGTCTTATTATCCTGTTCAAACAGCTATTCTAGGGAACAGGAAAGGAAGGCGAATGGGGTTTTATGTACACACACACACCCGGTCCCAAGCACGAAAGCTGCTGGGACATTGCGATAAGAAGGGGGGGCACCCCTGTGGTTGCAGGAGTTCCGGATATTTGGGGGGAAGACTCGAAGACCGCAATTCAGGAGCCTCTTCCGGGATTCCGAACTTCAACACGTGGACCTCATTGTCAACCTTCCCCATTGGCGGATGGGCGCTACAATGGTGCCTATGAATTCCAACTCCCCACTCCGCCACAAATTTCTGAGTTTATTCGAAAGCTTGCAGCCTTGGGAACAAGAGCAGGGTTTGGGGGAGGGATGATCGGATCCTAAGGAAACCAGTGGGGTGTCGGGGAGGCATTTGGACCCTCAACAAACCAGAGGCAGGGATCCAAATAATAGGAAACCAGGGGTAAGAAAAGTCTCGACTCTGTGAATTTTCCAAGCAATTTGGATCCTTCTTATGACCTCCAGGTGAACCAAATTTGGATCCAAACTGTGTAGGGAAATGTCGTAATTGTTCAGGAACAGCAACAAGCACTTCGCCCAGGTTACCAGGAGTCCCTGGTGGCGGGTCCCTTCGGCGGCAGCCGCGTGTGGCTGGCCCTGCACTGCGGCTTCCTCTTCCTATCTCCCAGCCCGGAGCCATGGGCGCCGCACCTGGGACGCGAGACTTAGGTTTTTTTTCGTGGAACTGATTGTATTTATTCATTTTGTGTGTGTGTGTGTGTTTTTTTTGGGGGGGGGGATTTTTTGCTTGGTGGCTTAACTTTTAGCAGGGGTTGGAGCTTTGGTAGAACTGATTTGTCTCTGTTTTTATTAGGGTAATTTAACTTGTAGCGGTTGGACCATGTTAGTGGTGCACAACAACTTTGGTTACGTTTTTGGGCGTCTTCCACTCATAAATTGAGTTGCTGGTTGTTTTCAACACATTTTGTCTGCCAGTTTGAAGCAAACGCACATTTGGATTGTCTCTTTGTTTTCCTTTGCTGTCTTTGGCATGCTTTTTGCCGGCTTTCTTCGCTTTTGGTTGTGTTCTGTTCACGTTTCGTAGGGGCTTGCCCAAAAAAAACAAAATGCGCTTTTTTTGTTTGGCAAGCCTAGGGCTCGGACGGTTTCCAACGTACGAAGAGCCGCCCAAGAGACGAGGGACCTGGGCGCGCCCAGTGCCCAGCCCGCTTCGGCAGGTACGCCTTCATGCACCTCGAGGGCCTCTTTGCGCCGGCCTCGGAGGATTCGGAAAAACGCGCGCGGCAGGGTGCTCGGAGTGCCCAGAGGGAAGCGCAAGAAAAAGGTCCCCCAGCTAGGTGCCCTTTCTGACCATTGCTTTTTTGGGGTTTTGGGTTCCCCTACTAAAATAGACTGCAGAAAAAAGTCGGGTACCCTGATTCTAACCTCTCTCCTTGAGGACCTAGGCAACGAAAGCGCCAGAGTGGCCGAATTTCTGCTGGTGAGGAGCCAAAAAGAAAACCATATTTTTAGACTCCAGACTCCCTATTTCACAACTCGGTTCAGGTCTCTCAGTTGATGTTTTCTCGGCTAAACCCCTGCTCTCCCCAAATCAAAGAAAAGGTCCCTTCAGAGAAAGAAGTGCTTTAGGCACGTCCGGTTCTTCCGCTTCAATCAACAAGGTGCCGCTTGCTTGGGTTGCAGATCCGCTTCCCCCAACAGCCACAAGCAGCCAAAAAGAAGGCTAGACTCCAGACTCTCTTTTTCATTCCCCGGAAGCCAAACCCCCCGCCTTGATGAAGAAACCTGCGGCCACGTCAGCTTGCTCCTCAGCTAAGAGGCGCAGTCGGACGCCCCGTCGCTGCTCCTCACGCTGCTACCGGCTTTGCTGGGGCCCGTGGGCAGTCCGCGAAGCTCGCCCAGACCTGCGCAGCTCGGAGCAGAGTTTGATGTCTGCCGCTTGGGGGGGATAGGCGTCCTTTTGATGTGTAGCTTGGTTAAACTTACCTGGACCCTTCAAAATGGGTCCATGACCCCTTCATTTTGGGTAATGACCCCTTTTTTAAGGGTCATGGAGACTCCAGGTAGATGGGCAAGCCACTGGCTTAGATAGTAAACAATTATTTACCAGGGAAACCCATCTATGTTTCCAAAAGGCCACCTATGCTGGGGGAGTGACTTGGATACCCCGCCTGTAGACTGATTTGCTGGTTTTCCCTTTAAGACAAAGCAAAACCGGGCGGTCCCTCAACAGAAGATGAGCGTTTCTGGTGTCCCTCGATCCCTTTTTGGTTGGGGGAGGGGGGGGCATGGTTTGGTGGGATCAGGTGCTTCCCGCCCTTTTGTTGATTTGTTTTGTGCATCGCATGTCATATGGCCAGTAATTAGCCAGGATATTATTGCATGTTCTAACCTATGTGGGGGTGTGTTCTTTTGACGGTGTCTCTGTTGTGTGAGGTGTGGGGGGGGTGGGGGGGGGAGGGTAGGAATAAAAGGGCATTCTCACAAGAGCAGTCCCGTTTTGTGACTCTTCGTGACTATCAGGGGCCAGGAAAAAGCCTTTTGTCAAAGGACCGTAACCTTCCCTTGGCTCCCTTTGTTATGGCTCTGAGTCAATTTTGGAAGCTGATCTTATCCTGAATCCTCACGGCAAGCGTAAGATGACCATCTTCCCCATGTTGGCGTTGCAAGGTTACCCCCTCAAGAGGCAAAAGCTGGAGCAACACAAGGAACATGGGTGCGGATGGCTTTCAGCCTTTTCAGGGGTTGGTTTAAATGGAAACCAAAAGGACAACCACCCAGAATTGGACACATGATAGTAAGCTTTAATCAATAACCCCCCTCACGGTCGACAAGGTCCAGATCGTATCTAAACCTTGCCCAAATCATGGCTGGTGATTTGGTGTGACACAATCCCCCCTTAGACCTTTTGAAAACAAACGTCTCCCATTGAACCCATCAAACGGCTAGCAACCTTTTGATCAGGGAGGCCGAAAGCAACCTAGAAATATGAAGCAGAATCTGAAAGGGACATTTTGCGTACCCTCGTCCACTGACATGGAATCCACCAGAGGGTCCCTTGTAGGACCCCTGAGTCAGGTTCCGTTTTAGTGGATGGGAGGGTACCCAGATTGGCCAAGTCGGGTTTCATGACGGAAGGAACCTATGAATCGCATGTTAACATCACCCAAATGGCCAAGCCAGAGGGTCCCAGCACCTCAAACTGTACTTTGACCCATTTTGGTCCTGCGAAGTACATCTTGAGGTACTTGGAACCTTTGGGCAAATATAGCTGTGCTCTTTTTAATTTGAGGACGCTGGGGTGGACATCATTTGCATTGGGATTCGTGCGCAGCCTTTAGAATTCATTGCCATATGGGCGTGTTTTGTTTCGCCCCCTCCCCCGCAATCCCAACAGTTTTTTTGTTTTTTTGAAGCAGGAACACGCCCAGCTTCAGATCCTGGGCCAAGCGCTTGTAATGCTCTGAAAAGAGAGGTCACAAAACAGAGGCCACAATTCAAACACTTATAATTGGAGGGTCAGGTGCAATCCCCGTAAATGTGTGCGGATATCTGCTTTATCAAGTCTTTACATAGGTCTGGGATTACGACGGTTTTAGTACCGGGTTTTGATTGTGACTCAGGTCTTCCTGGTGTTCCCTTTGGTTTCCATTTGCCAGATGCCACCCAGATTCCTCAAAACGGGAACCCTCCCAGCAAGTCACCTGGAAGTGCGGACCTTTGGCCCCTTTCCAAGAGGAAAGTCGTCTTTCAGGACTATATGCCACCATGGTTGTTGTTGGGAACCATTTTCCATTTTGCTTATTGTGGCCTATTAGTGGGACATCCCCACTGAACAGCTAAAACTTTGTTTTTGCTCCTCTTCCAACGTCAGCCAAGCCAAACTATGTAAGTCGGTGGGAGGGTCGCCTCCAAAAGCCGATGCCACCCATCCAGCTGCCACCTTCGGCCTGAACCGACCTTTCCCCGTCGAGGCTCCAGGTGGTCTTCCTTCTGCCCGACGGGCGGTGGCAGGTTATCGAGGTGCCGCGGTTTCAGGCAGGGCTGGGCTTCGCTTTGGAAGTCTTTGGACTTCCATTTCAGTTTCCCACCCCCCCCTTCCCTGCAGGTTTGTTTCAAGTGTTTCTGGGGGGGGTTGTGTGTGTGTGTGTGTGGGTGTGTTTGTTTGTGGGGGGGGGTACCCTTTTTACCTCAGGAATTTGCGCGTGCTTCTCTTAGCTACTGGACCCACTCAGAAAAAGGTGCCATAAAGAAACCCTGTTTACACTAGTTTAAAGGGAAAACACATGGAAACACCGCCATTTTGGGGTCCCCCTTATTTCGCGACATGCACCTGTCTTTCTTTGTTTAGTGTCGCTTTTCCTTGTTTGTTGCGTCTCGTTCAATTTTGGTGGTTTTCGGTGTTTGCTTTTTAATTTGGCGGGGTGGTTCGCGGGCGCTTGTTTTCAAAGGGCGGGGCTCCCATGGAAATCAATCTGCTGGCTTTTTGGGTTTCATGTTAATCTGGGGGTACCCAACTGTGGCCCCTGGTGGTTGCACTTTGAATGGCCCCCATTGGGCTACTTTTGTGGTCCGTTGCAGGGGGAGCGCCGTGCTGTCAATGAGGGGTGACCAAAAGTGTCGAAATGTGTTTCGGCGCATGATCGGAATCAATGATTGGCCAACAACTACAATGTTACAACCACAGACACAATCACAACAGTCACAAGAAACGGATTTGGGCTCCCTCCCGCCCCCTCTCCCTCCCTTCCTCCGCCCCAGGCCCCATGAAACCGAATGATTGGCAGACCCTTCCGTCATTCTGATCAGTTCAGGTGCAGCTGGCAGACGGGGAGCAGCTGGAAAGCTTCCGGCAGAGTCTGATGGAGCACTGCCCTTTGGCCATGGGCGTGTCGTTTTTGTAAGCCCCGAAACGGCGGGTTTTCCCTGTGGGTTTCCCTTCAAAGCTACTCCAAAGGGTGCCGAGCATCAAAACAGACATGCCCATCTAGGCCTTGTGCCCGGTTTGGGCACTGCGAAGGGGGCGGGGAGCTATCAACGATCAGGTCATGATGATGTTTGTTTCTGGTTATCCAAGTGAGCAACTGGGGGTTGTTCCTTTTCCGTTTAACCAACATGATGGGGTTTTGCCAGGGACAACTGGAAAACACGATCCTTGCGACTGGGCTTGTTCCTTTTAACCAACACGATCCTTGTGAGCAACTGGGGTCCGAGGCTTTTCCAGGGACAGCCCCCCCCTCCCATAGCCCCCCTAGGTTCAAGATCCTCGAATCAAAGAGCTGACCCTCCTTCAGATAAGCCCCAACCAAAAAGAGCATTTAAGAGGGCTAAATAAGCGGTCAATAAGCCACAGCCAAGATGGAAAGGCCACGTTTTCTGCGTTGTCAGGTCCTTTCTGGGGTTTGGGTGAAATCGTGGTTCTCCCTTTCCTCAAATCGGCGGATGCTGTGAGTTTGTCATCCCCGCAACTGGACCCAAGCGCACCGTTCTAGCATGTTCTAGCATTCAAGGCGGGTCAATTCAGCACGGGGCTGTTGGAGATGGATGACAAGGGGCCAAGACGAAAACCAAAAGGCAACCGTTGATTTCTCAGACTCCATGGCTAGTGGATAGAAGCGGAGAGCCACCTCCCACCTGTGATGCCGATGCGATGCGGGAGAGGTTGGTCCATGTTGTAGAGGGTGTCCAGCATTCCTAGATCCTGTTACAAGGTCCTAATCCAAATAGAGTCATGACAATAGCTGTGTAGCCCCTTATAAGAATTTACAAACTCTTTTGTGAGTCTGAGCATTCTGTCAACATGCCGTTTCTTTGCGTGTCTGTGTCTGTCTGTGTCTATCTGTGTTTGTTTGTGTTTGTCTCTCTCTCTCTGTGTGTGTGTGTCTGTGTGTCTGTGTGTGTGTGTGTCTCTGTGTGTCTCTGTGTGTCTCTGTGTGTCTCTGTGTGTCTCTGTGTGTCTCTGTGTGTCTGTGTGTGTCTCTGTGTGTGTCTCTGTGTGTGTCTCTGTGTGTGTCTCTGTGTGTGTCTCTGTGTGTGTCTCTGTGTGTGTCTCTCTGTGTGTCTCTCTGTGTGTCTCTCTGTGTGTCTCTCTGTGTGTCTCTGTGTGTCTCTCTGTGTGTCTCTCTGTGTGTCTCTCTGTGTGTCTCTCTGTGTGTCTCTCTGTGTGTCTCTCTGTGTGTCTCTCTGTGTGTCTCTCTGTGTGTCTCTCTGTGTGTCTCTCTGTGTGTCTCTCTGTGTGTCTCTCTGTGTGTCTCTCTGTGTGTCTCTCTGTGTGTCTCTCTGTGTGTCTCTCTGTGTGTCTCTCTGTGTGTCTCTCTGTGTGTCTCTCTGTGTGTCTCTCTGTGTGTCTCTCTGTGTGTCTCTGTGTGTGTCTCTGTGTGTGTCTCTGTCTGTCTGTCTGTCTGTCTGTCTGTCTGTCTCTGTCTCTGTCTCTGTCTCTGTCTCTGTCTCTGTCTCTGTCTCTGTCTCTGTCTCTCTGTCTGTCTGTCTGTCTGTCTGTCTGTCTGTCTGTCTGTCTGTCTGTCTGTCTGTCTGTCTGTCTGTCTGTCTTTCGGTGTCAATGCGCATGTGCGCCCTGATTTCAGCGGCAGCCACGCCCCGACCTTAAGTGAGCTCGCCATCACAGAGGTGTGTAGTATCTGGGTTTATTTCGTGTGGAGGACTCAACGGCCATGCAAATCAGTGGCCGTTCCCAGTTCAGCGGAAAAGTGATCCAATGACTCTCCGATTAACATGGTCCAGCTGCATCAACAGGTGAGAGTTTCCAAGTACCAACCCTGCAACCCAGAGGGTTCCTTGTAAAGGAAAGTCGGCCAAACCAGGGCCCTCTGTCAGATTCTATGCAGAAACCTTTTGCTTTTCCAGGTTTGGATCCAGGATCCCGCTAGTGGATTCTACTATGTCCTTCCGCCTTTTCCCAGGGTCGTATTCTGAAGCTGGAGGCATCACTCTTGTCGTGCCTTCAAGGTTTTGCTGATTGTTGCCCACTCGATATCTTGTTTTCTTTGGCTTGTGGCAACCCCACGTGGACCGCCTTTGGGATGGTGACTTTGCCATAAATTTAGAACCTGAAGTACAGCAATCCATGGACCTTCATCATGGTGAGCTTGTTTCTCCCAGGAGCTTGCCGCATGCCGTAAAAGAGGCAGAGATGATCCACCTCCCCTTGGAGATGATCCCCGCATTTTCCCAAAAATACACCCAACAAAGTGAGAACTTGTTTGGGTGTGCCCGGAGAAACAACAGCAAACAAAACCTACTTTGCAAACAAGGGCACCCTAGCATTGGTGCCTTCCATGTGTTTCCCCTTGAACGAACCAACATTGCTTGACTTCCTGCAGATTTTCCGTTAGCCGGTTTCTTGGAAAGTAGGTGGAAATGGTCCAAAAAGGCTTTCCCCTAAACATACCAGGACGAAAAGGAGAAACGAGACCTAAGTGGTTCAGACCTAACCGCCCAGGCCTTGACGAGTCCGTGGTGTCCAAAAACGCGTCGCCGTTGTCCGGACCGTCCAATGGGTCCTGAGGCTGCCCGGGTTTTTCTTGCGGCGACAAGCCGCGAAAAACAGCGCCCAGTTTCGGTTTTGAACAATACAGGAACATGAACTCTGGACAAATTCTGTACGAGCTCACCTTTCGCTCTTTTTGGGGTGTGGTTTGAACAGGAAGGCGATGAGACCTTGTGCTACTGGCAGAAACCAGCTGCCAGCTCCAGGTGTTGTCCCGAGTAGAGGAGCCTCAACAAATCCCATCCATACATACCGGCCAAAGCCTTGTCAATTTGGGGCCGCGCATGTCCCTGGTGCTATCGCAAAATCTTCGGGAGGCGCAATGCCGCCATCGTTTCACCAAAGTTCCGGTAAATCGATCGCAAGTGGAAAAAGGTGTGTGTGTGTGTGTCTTTTGAGGGTACCCCTTTCTATCTTGGTTCAAAGGAAAGCTAACAAGAGGAAATCCACTTTTCATGCGGTCCTCCTATATAAGCTTGCAAAGTTACGTGGCCTTTGTGATGGTTCTCACATGGACAGGGCGGTCACTTTTGAGCCTACCGTATTGGCACGCCCCCCCCCCCCCCCCCCCCCCGCGCAACATCTGAAGAGAAGACAATCCCTGAATGGAAATGGGAGGCACGGCCCATTCCCAATTCTCGTCCTGGACTGCCAACTTTTTTGGGGTTGGACACTTTTAGTGGTAAACTAGTAAACAACAAGTGCCAGAACTTCTAGGTCCCCCAGTGGTGCCCTTCTCTCCCCTTTTTTTTGGGACAGGGTTCCCCTAAAATTGACCACGGCCAAAAATAAATTGGGTACCAACTTCTTCTAACCTCAAACTACTGGAGGACCTAGACTTTGTTTGGCCAGTCCACTCCAGAAGTGAGTCACAATCAAAACCCGGGTAAGTGAAGGTTAAGGGACAATCCCAACAATAGCTGCGGAGATCCGCCTTCTTTATTCTTGAACCATGGTTCTGGGTCGACCATTTCAATACCGGGTTTTGAGCAAGTGACTCAAGTGAGAATTTGAGCTTGGTGCCTGGTGGGCCGGGATCCTGCAGCTTTCCCAAGGATGATCCGCTGTGGTATGGCAAGTCGCCAGCCCGCCACACTTGGAGAACGAAACATGGCAGTGGACGCGCGTGTCTTTTTGGGTGGGGTTTTAACGGAAAATCAAAAGGAACAAACAACTACCATTTTGTCCCCCCCCCCCATCACCAAAAAAAAAAGGACACACTCAGATGGGGTAGTATTTTGAGTTGGCATTTGGGCTTGTCTTCTTTAGGGGACCTGCCCAAAACAATAGTTTTCCTGTTGGCTTCCCTCAAAGGCCACCAAAACACGGGCACCCCCACACAAGACACGCCCAATTGGGTTGAGCGTTGCCCCTTGAGGGGTTCAAAATGACCCCTGGTGTGAGGACTCAGAAAAAGAGTGGCCTACTACAGCCCAGTCCATTGCCGGCCGTGAGTGTTGACACGCCGAGAGGGGTATGGCGAGCATTCGCTAGCAAAGCTTTTCGCTCTAAGCCAGATTTCCAGCACTATGCAGGAGAGTTGCCCCTGTATCACCGCGCTATGCCATGATTATAGTGTTGACTTGGTGCGAAAAGGGAGTCCATAGTTTGCTTTCCCTTCAAGAGAATCGTGCCATTTGTCACCCACCCAGCGAGGGCCGAATGACCCAAGCCCCAGTTGTTCAGCAGCGTGGTGTCCAGTAGAAAAGGAAGCCCTGTTTTCTCAACTTTGTGGTCCAAAGATATACGGACGTAAGGAGCGACGTCTAGTTGTACAAACAAAAAGGCAAAAGCTATAGAAGTACCATGTTGGTCCGGGTTTGTGTTTTTGAGAGTAGTCTTTGTGGGGTAAAACCCTTGACTTGCATGGGTTGTCTTAATCAAAAGGAACGCCTTTTCGCATTTTGCGGGACTCCCCTAGTTTACTCAGTTGTTCAGTGGCACCCTTTGTCCTATTTTCGTTTGTTTGGTGGCTGCCCCACTAAAAGAAGTGGTCCAAGCCCCAACAAGGGTTCCCTTTTTTTCCCAGGGTCACTGAACAACTGAGTTTACGACAATCACCTTGAAGGCCTTTCTCCATGGCCGGAGGCTTGCCGTACAGCGTACCAACTTCCTCGTTTGGTGAAAACTCTGAAAGTGGCAATCTGTTTAGTTATCTTCACTGTTCTTGGCATGTTTTTTGGGTTTTTTGGTTCTGTTCCCATTTTTACTGGGGGTCAGCAAAAAACACATTTGGTTTTTTCGCTACCATACCAAGAGTAGAGATGTAGTGCATAGCACCAGTAAATTGATTGATCAACCTGTATGGGAAGCCCACTCGACGGGAAGTAAGCTTGCTGGTGCCATCGGCGCATCCAACTGGTGGTTTGGTGGTTTGGGGATCCCTGGGTTCATTCCATTTCTCATTCCCTACCTATCGCACCAGCAAGTCAAGGGTTTTACCCCACAAAGACTAGTCTCAAAAAACACAAACCCGGTGCAACCTAGTACTTATCGTTTTTTTTGCATTTTTTATTTGTAGAAGTAGACATTGTCTCTTCTTTGTTGCATTTTGCTTGGACGTTAGGACTGCATCACTTTTTGCCAACTCATGGGTTTTCCGTATTAAACCACCAAAAGTTAAGCTCACTTTTAGCAGGGGAGCAGTTCTAGAAACTGGGCTGAGAGATCACCAGCAACCCTGGTTCAACACGGTACTTCTATAGTTTTCCCCTTTTTATGTGTAATGGACGTAGGAACCTATATACCCACCAGCAAGTAAGAGTTCTTTCTGAGCGCCAGGCGCAAAGAGATTGAGTACGCCACGGAGCTGGAGAAGTCCAATGGGAATGCCGCCTCCCGCGAGGGCGCGCGAGGCTCAGAGGCTCAGAGGCTCCGGCGGACGGAGAGAGACCCGCTGTTTTTTTTTGTTTTTTCCTTTTTCGGGGGTTACTGGGATTTCCCATTCTTCCATGTGGAATAACAAAAATAATAATTGTCCCTTTTGGTTTTAAAGGGAATCGATGACTACTGGAGATTTCTTGATTTTGTCCAGGGGACTTAAGCAACTGGAGGCATTCAACTGTTGACCAGCTTACTGGTGGTGCCCACTAAAACTGCAACTGGGTAGGGATTTTTGCCTGAGGTTGTTTGTTTGTTTTTTGCGCCAGGGCGAACCAGGCAGAAGCAAGGACACCCTGGCTTTTGGAAGGCTCCAAAAGCAATCATTTCCTGGATTCCGCTTTTGGGGAACGGAGGTGTGGAGCTGGCCGGCTTACGCTTCTTGTTACTGAGAGCCATGTGACACAAATGAGCATGACTAAAGCAACAAGGTGAATGAACTATCTTAGACTTCAAAGTTCTTGTGAGAACCCTCAAAGCTTAAAGGGGTGTATACTGCAAGCTGTTCTCCCATGGCTCCATACCGAGAAATGCAGTGGATGGAGAAAGTCCACACCACGCACCAGTTGGTAGGTGGTTATCCCGTCTAAAATGGCTTCTACCTCAGCGAGGGGACAGTATAATAAAGTGTCGGATGGTTCCTACCCAACCACTTCCCCAAGGCGACCGGGTATTGTGTCTATATGAAATATATAGTGGTTGTATTCATTCCACTGGATGCAGGTGTTTGGAGATGGGAGATGAACCCACCCTACTAGCCCCCTACTGGGGGCTAATGAAATTGGGGACCCATTTGGGGGGCCCATTTGGGCAACCATAGGAGTGGATGGCACAATTCCCTTCGGGCAAGAAAAGGGGATGACTGGACCAAAGTTGGGGAATGGTGCTACTATAGCCCAACTGCACACCCTCCCTCCAACAGTCATGGAGGTTGACAAAGGACGGAAAGACAAGGGCTTCGCCATTGGCTACAAGCATGGTTTTCCACAAAAGGCGAGGGTTAAGGTGCAGGCAAGCTGGAATAGGGAACCATCAATGAAGTTCCAGCCTACGCTCGCTGCAATGGAACTCGCTTTCCTCAAATCTGTTCTTTCCATCCCCTTGCTTCTGGCGCCTTTGTACCATTTGCCAAAGGGGAGGAACTGCTTGGCACGCGCAATGCGTCGCTGAAGCTTGCCCTGCCAGTGGTAGAGGGGCCATGTCCAAGGCAGGCGCAAAGGATAGTTGGCTTCCTTAGGCTTGCGAACTTTGGCTCGGTCCCCCAGTAGGTGCCGTTTCTTTTGCCCTTTCTTTGTTGGGTTGGGAGGGCAAGCCCCTACTAAAATAGACTACAGGAAAAATAGGGCACCAAGTTATTTTAACCTCTCTACTGGAGGACCTAGTTGCGAACTTTAGGCATCGACCATGTGGTACGATGGCATGGGCAAAGAAGGGCCCAGCCGCTCTATTCTGTTTGCTTTCTGCTTGGCTGCTTGGCATTCCTGTTGGATGCTTTTTCCCCCGCTAGCCAGCAACAAGCGGACCATTGGTGCCGATCAAAGGTGATGCCAGAGGATCCGGTTCTTTTTGCTCCATCCCTCCGCCTATTATTTCAGAGAAAACGAGCTCACGAAACGAGGTCACGCTGATGAAAACCTGAATGTAGGTCTTGTACTTGAAGATTCTGTTGGACGTATTGTATATAGCTAACTTGTCCAAAGCCAGTCGACCTTTTGACCCCGAAAGGTGATCACCTTGTACTTTTGGGTTGCCTTTGGGTGCAACTGATTACCGTGAACAGCCCAGATATGGGTGTGTCTTTTAGGAGACCCCAGTAGGAAGGGTACCGAAAAGAAACAAAGACACACCCACATACATATATATATATGGTCACCCCCCCCTGCATGACCTACCGTTGTCTTTCAAAAAGTCGTTGGGGACCATTAGCAGACAATAAAAAAGTGAAAAAACACCTGTTTTTTTATGGTGTTCGATTAAAAAACAACACAGTCAACCATTGAAAAATTAAGAAAAACCAGTGTGTTTTGATGGTTTTAGCAAAAAATGTGCAAAAATCCATGTTTTTTTTTAGAAAAAACAGGAAAGCATTCAAAAAAACAAGTGTAAAAACTGATATGTTTTTCAGATAGATCCCTAAGTCAAAAACTAAGAATTCCCTGGGTTTTTGATGGTTTTGCAGTAAAACCTTCAGAATTCCTTGGGTTTTTAGCATTTTTCACATAAAACCAAGAAAACCTCGAGAAAACCAAGAATCCAAGAATCCAAGATTTTCAGGTAGATGTTTGGTCCACTACAAAATCTTGGATTCTTGGTTTTCTCGAGGTTTTCTTGGTTTTCTTGGTTTTACTTGGGAATTCTTGGATTTCCAGCAAAAAACCAAGAATTACTAGGGTTTTTTTGGATTTCCAGCAAAAAACCAAGATTTACTAGGGTTTGTTTGGATTTCCAGCAAAAAACCAAGAATTACTAGGGTTTTTTTGGATTTCCAGCAAAAAACCAAGATTTACTAGGGTTTGTTTGGATTTCCAGCAAAAAACCAAGACTAGGGTTTTTTGACTAGGGTTTTTTTGGATTTCCAGCAAAAAACCAAGAATAAAAAAAGGAAAACCAAAAAAACCTCGAGAAAACCAAGAATCCAAGATTTTGTCGTGGGCCAGACATCTACATGAAAATCTTGGATTCTTGGATTCTTGGTTTTCTCGAGGTTTTCTTGGTTTTCTTGATTTTACTTGGGAATTCTTGGATTTCCAGCAAAAAACCAAGAATTACTAGGGTTTTTTTGGATTTCCAGCAAAAAACCAAGATTTACTAGGGTTTGTTTGGATTTCCAGCAAAAAACCAAGAATTACTAGGGTTTTTTTGGATTTCCAGCAAAAAACCAAGATTTACTAGGGTGTGTTTGGATTTCCAGCAAAAAACCAAGAATTACTAGGGTTGTTTTTGATTTCCAGCAAAAAACCAAGATTTACTAGGGTTTTTTTGGATTTCCAGCAAAAAACCAAGAATTCCCAAGTAAAACAAGGAAAACCAAAAAAACCTCGAGAAAACCAAGAATCCAAGATTTTGTCGTGGGCCAGACATCTACATGAAACTCTTGGATTCTTGGATTCTTGGTTTTCTCGAGGTTTTCTTGGTTTTCTTGATTTTACTTGGGAATTCTTGGATTTCCAGCAAAACACCAAGAATTACTAGGGTTTTTTGGATTTCCAGCAAAAAACCAAGATTTACTAGGTTTTTTGTTTTTATTTCCAGCAAAAAACCAAGAATTCCCAAGTAAAACAAGGAAAACCAAGAAAACCTCGAGAAAACCAAGAACCCAAGATTTTGTCGTGGGCCAGACATCTAACACAACAGAAATACCAGCACCAACTGAAGACGAAGAAGAAGAACCACAAAAAGATAATTTTGAAAAATTGAAATCTTAATAATAGCATATATAATGGGTATTGGTAAAAGTAAAAATAATGAAAATAATAGTTTGGAAGACATTAAGAATTTAAGTATAGATGAAAAAAACACGAGCAGACACTTCAATTATTAAATCTCTTCAAGAATGTGTGACACGAATTGAGAAACTAGAGAAAGAAAAATCTGACAAATTAATATATAAACTTCCTGCCTTACAATGTTGCAATGCTTCGTTAATTTAAATTAATAATATTAACATATAATAATATTATTGATTGCTATCATAATCTGTCATTTTATCCTCTGGTATTGTTGTTGAAGTAGTACTATTTATATCATCTATTAAATCTTCTTCATCAACAAAATTATTTTGACATCTTAATAATTCCTCGTCTGTTGCCCTTCTTTTCAATACTTTATAAAGTTTATGTATCCAAGAATTAGTATGAAAATTACAATTACCTCTACGATAAAATCCACCACATCTACATAGTTTCATTGGCATATTACTATATTATATTAAATTATAATATCTTTATTCATCATTCGTAATTTGAAATGCCTGTTCAAATCTGATATGAAACATTTTGTTAATGTCTTTAGCATTCATATTCACGTAGAAGAAACTATAAGGTGCGTCATTAACGGCTTGATGATACATATCTAATAATTGCTGTTTATCAACAATGGCGCTATTTTCTTCAATAAAACTCATGAACTCACTTGCATTTTTCAACCTAATGAACTGGCATTTAAACGAATGATAGGCACTAAAACATTATATTTTGTGTTGAACAAATTACACTTACTGCATCGTGCCTGCCTCTTGTAAAAAGTCCGTGTAATAATTTACTATATCTAACAAATTTAGGATCGTCTGCGTGGTCATCTACAACGATGAATATTGAATGCGTGGTCATCTATAACGATTAATATTGAATGTAGTTTCTTTATCTTTTTAGACTTCATATAATTAATTATTTTCTTCTGTCTTTCAATTACATTTTCTAAATCACTTGGATTATAATTATCAAAATAAATTTGTCTTTTTCATCATCCACGTGCAATTCATCCCTGATGTATTTTTTAACTTCTGTAAAAGTTGGGTCATTATGAACGCTGGGGGAAAAAATAATATTCTTGCAAATGAATTTCTATAAACATTCAAGATAAGGTTTTGGACTAAAACTGTTTTGCCTCCCGTCGATGAAGCAACTATAATACTTCTAAATGGTAATTTTAGCACGTGCTCATATTTGGATTGTTTGAATTCATATTCAGTTACGTTTATTGGTTTTATTATTGGGACATCTGTCATAGTTGATATTAAAGAAATATGGAAAATTATATTTTAAAAAAAACTTGTCATTAATATTAAATGGACCATCATTATGTTATGAGTGGCGGCGAATAACATAATGGAACAGGTTTTCCATTGCTTCAATCAATAAGCATTGAAGATAATTAGTTTTGTGTTTTGCTCGCGTGTGCAATGAAAACCAAGTGCTGTGCCCCACCAATAGCGATGAAGGGAGGGGCAAATGATAGATGAGATCCTGCTTTTTTTAGCTAAAAGGTAGGTCATGCAGGGGGGGGTGAGCATATATATATATATTGTACATGGTCCCGTGACATGGTTTTACCACAACCTTTGAACCCTTCCCCCTTCCGGGGGGGGGGGACCGGGGACCATAGACACTGGACCATATATAGAGAGAGAGAGAGAGAAGTTCTCTTTTGGCACGATCCAAGGCGCCGCTTGCCTGTTCCGATTCCGAGGATTGGAAGAAGGCGAAGAGGCTCGCACATCTCTTTGGGGCGATTGGCGAATTCACCGAAGTCAAGAGCCGTACCGTCCAATTCTATTCTCAGGAATCCTTCTTTTGGCCACCCTGGGAAAATGGGTGCTTCCTGAAGAGAGAATGTGTGAAGAGAATGGAGTTGGAGTCGAGCCCGAAAAGTAAGGAGGTCCCTGCAAAGGCCATGGGTTTGTGTGCATGTAAATACGAAGTTCGGAAGAACGCAACCAAGCAACATCCCGAAAATCCGTCCGCACGACTCATGGATGCCACCTATGGCCGCTTCACCCAACCTGCGACTTCGGCTCTTGGCATGGGCTGCTTGCTGTGTTCACGCCTTGGTGGGGGACGCTTAAAGAAACCGCCGCCGGCTTTTCTGCCCACAAATTCTCGCCCATCCCTTTTGTGGTAGCTTCCGTTTCCGCAGGCCTCCGGTGACATGTGTTCCCTTTGTTGGCAGAGGATCCCTTCAGGGAGAACGGGTGTACATGTTCAGTTAGTGCATAGGTTAAGACCATGCTGATTGCTCGGGCATATCTTGTTAGCCACCTCAGAACCATGGTTACAGTCTACTTGTATAGCTCAGGGCACCCCAAACGAGTTCTAATAAACAGGTTGCAGCCTGCACCAAGGGACAAACATGTGTGTAGCACCCCTTATCCCTGTTGGTAGAATCCATTTTGGGTCACCCAATTAGCAAGTGGCTTGACGCCCAAGTAAACGCCGTTTCTCAGGTATTGGAAGAATGCCCTGCGTGGCGCTGAAAAGATTCAGGCACCGGTCGACCGCTTAAGGCCGAAGCGCGAAGTGCGCTGCACCCAGTTTGATTTGTTTAAAGCACGCAATTACAACCGAGGAACAAATTGGTTTGTCATTTTTGGCGGGACCCCCTTTTGGTTGGTTTCGAAGGGGGAGGACACCACCCTTTTTTGGAGGTTCCGATTCCCATTTTGAGGTTCAAAGCCAAATGCTCACCTCTGGTTAAGTGGGATCCAATCGATTAGGGTTGGCTTCACTCATTGGGCACCCCGGCTTCGCTGGATGTTGTTGAGGGAACACCTCCTATTGATACTGTGGATGGACGAAATCCATTTTGCACCACCTAAGAAACCCTAGAATGATATGATTTCCCGTAAATACCAAGAAACAATGGTTTCCCATGGTGTCTTGGGTGGTGCAGGATTTTGTCCATCCACAGTAGGACGAGTTCTACTTCGATGTGTCAACATTCAGGTGTGATCAGAAATGTTTTGGGTCCAGTGACCACCTGCCCGAGAAAAGCGGCGCACATGACTAAAGCTCCGGAGGGGGTAGGGAGATCTGTTTGGGCTGGGAGCTGCGGGGGGATACTGTGGATGGACGGAATCCTGCACAACCCAAGACACCATGGGAAACCGTGGTTTCTTGGTATTTACAGGAAATCATATCATTCTAGGGTTTCTTAGGTGCGAAATGGATTTCGCAACCATCCACAGTATGACCATTGAGACGCAAATGTCGACCCTTTGGCACACCCAGCTTTTGCGCGGCTTCCGAAGTAACCTCCGCTTGAAGCAGGGCCTTCTATGCCTCACTGCTTTGACGTCCCTGTATTCCAATGTTTGGGCATGAAGCCGTGGGCCAATTTAGCTTCCTTTGGGTGGGAAGATGTGCTAGAATGTTCGAAATGGCTGTAGCTGAGGGAAGTTAAGAAGGTCATAACCATGGTTGCAAGGGGGGGCTGCCCCAGTTGCAACCATGGCTTGAACCTACTTAGAAAAGCGGCTTGAACATCGTAGTGCTGGCTTGTCTCCTCGCAATACAACTGGGGCCCTACTACGATTCCCCTTGCCAGCTGATGTTGTCGATCCCCTTGTAGAGCATGCGGTTGTTGGCATGGCACTGCATACCCTGCTTGCCAGGCGAGTGGGGGCTGAGAGTTCGCCGCGTTGAAGGGGGGTTTTCGCAAACTCGCCGGCCAGGATGCGGAGACAGAGTTCCGGCTTCACTCAAACCTTGCGCGTCAGCCCCATTGCCGCCGTTCCTGCGCCGATTCGACGTGGACAGTGCGGCGAAAGGTTCGCATGATGACCCCGGACTCAGCCCGGATTGTTGGGGCTGTTTGCTCAAACGGACCCCCCCCCATTAGTCCACCAGGGGCTTCTTACTCCTCCGTACAACATGCCCCCAGGCATTGGCTTGCTTGGCCATGGCTTGCCATTATCAAAAAGAGAGGCAACAAAGAGGACTCTGTTCTTCCAACCGCCCTGGTTTTGGACCTTGATGTGGCATATGGTTTTGTCTCCAAATAGTTGTCCCAAGGGTACCTCAAAAAAGACAAACAAATCCACTTTGGTCGGGCCCAAAATGTTGGGCCCAAACAACATTTTGGTCAGGTTTCGGAGGTCGCACTAGCACGAGCTCGCCCGTGAAGGATGCGGCATGGTTTTTTTCGTGGATAAGAGTTTTGATAGGA